AAAAATTTCATCGCGTTGCCAATACGCTTCACTCTTAGCTGGTGTAATGTTTTGATTTCTTGATATCTGGTAGGGCAGGTATCCCTTTGCCCCCACATTTTCTTTACCATGAGCCTTTCAAATTTCACATAAATCTTCGAATCCACTCATGCTACCTCAGAAAACAATGCTGTTCATTATTTCACTGGAATGCGGGGAATTTGTGGATTCGTTTTAGAGAGCAGACATCTTTCTCTATCTCGAGGTGAGTCTTCTTATTCAGAAATACAGTGGGCTGCTCCGTTTGGTCAGGCCCACTTCGTACCCTTCAAGGGACTCATTTTTTTCTCATTAGATCTTACACTCTTTTTGCTAGATTTATTGCCAAAGAAAAGCGATGTATTTATTAAAAGGGTGATTATTGTAACTACTACCGATTAAAGCATGTGTGATGCACAAAGCACTGCTGTATTCAGTCCGTCATTTGAGCAGCCCATCTTGGGGCAGCAGGCAAGACTGACGTCATTGCCACTTTCAAATGAGGTCACTGAGGATGGGGAGGTTGAGGGATGGGGGTGCAAAGGGGCGGGACCTGCCCGCCTTGGGAAGCATCTCCCGCTTGTTCCTGTGCTCCTGCTGCTCTCTGTCACTCACTCACACACACACACACACACACACACACACACTCACTCGCGCGCGCATTTATCTTCCAAGTTCAACCGTAAGTTGCTTAGAAACTGCTCTGGGCTCTCAGACTTTCTTTCTTTCTTTTTTTTTTAATGTTTTTTTTATTTATTTCTAGGAGAGAGAGAGAGAGAGACAGCGTGAGCAGGGGAGGGTCAGAGAGAGAGGGAGTCACAGACTGAAACAGCCTCCAGGCTCTGAGCTGGCAGTCAGCACAGAGCCCGACGCGGGGCTCGAACCCACGAACCGCGAGATCATGACCTAAGCGAAAGTAGGACGCTTAACCAACTAAGCCACCCAGGCGCCCCTGGGCTCTCGGACTTTCTACAAACCCCGGAGTTTCTCCTGAGGGTCTCAGTCATGGGCTCTGTTCTGATTGGATGGCCTACCCCTGGAGGGCCTGTATTGATTGGCTGAGGCCTGGATCACGTGCCCATCTGTAAAACAATTTCTGTGGTAACGGATGAACTTTATTGATTGGTTGGGTGCCCACGTGCCAGCAGTGGAGGGTCTGGGGGACACTCAGAGGGGTGCTAGGGGGGTGCTCAGCGTATGGGGAGGGCTGAGGGGCAGTCAGAGGGGAGCTGGGGGGATGCTCAAGGGGAGGAGGTTGTTCAGTGTTGGGGAGGGCTGAGGGGTAGTCAGAGGGAGGCTCGGGGAGGGGGTTCTCAACGGGGATGGGGACTGGGGAGGGCTGGGGGGCACTTAGAGGGTTGTTCAAGAAGGAGGTGAGCTGGGGGGGCTCAGGGGTGTCCAGCGGGAGCGGGGAGGCTGGGGAGTGTTCAGTGGTGAGGGAGGGCTGGGGCTAGTACTCTGGGGGGCTCAGGAGGACTGTGAGACGGGGCTTGGTGGACCACCCAGAAGGGGGTTCTAGGGGCTCAGTGAAGGACTGGCATGGGGCCTCCCTAGGGCTAAATGGAATGAGGCTTCAGTGGGGGTGGGGTTCAGGAGGGACTCAGTGGGGACGGTGGGCCAGGATAGGGCCTCAGGGCCCCTCAGCCAGCTGGGGTCAGCATCTTCTCAACCACGCCCCAGCTTTCAGATTCTTCTTCATGACTTTTCCTCCCATCCTGCTCTTTGCTCCCCCTTGGGAGTCCCGGAGACTAGGCTGCCCTGGGGCCCAGACTCCCCACTTGCAGGGCTCCCCCTCCCCCTCCCCTCTTCCTTCTCTGCAGACTTCCTCCCACATTCTGTGCAGGCTCCACAGTGGTTAGGGCGCCATCCTCAGGAAGTCGAGCCCCACCCCTCCCCAAATGGCCATGTGTCCAAGCGTAGGCTACATATCCATCCCTGGCCCCTGAGCTGGGGTGGGGGGGGGGGGGTGTCTCCAGGTAGAGCTCCTGAGAAGAGTCTGTCTTCCTCCTGGCACAGAGGGTGCACCTTTTCACCTGGGCTAGTCTCCCACTTTGAGGAGTTAAAAGGAGGGGGACAGTGGGCTTCTTTCATCTGCTGTCTCTCAAGAGCTACTAGCTTAAAATGGTGTCGGCTGGCACATTTAGGAGTGACATGCCCTGAAGGCCATAGGAGGCCTGATCACACTTGTGGCCCTTTCAGGGCTCCTTTCCTGTGCAGGCTGCAGAGGCTCACCTTCCATGTACAGTGAAAATAGCCCAGACAAGGGGGTATGGAGGCCAAGGCCACTGCCTGGCCAGGTTCGTGCAGCTGGCTGGTTCTTCTCCAGCTTCGTGGGGATTCCACTGTGCAGCTAAAATGGGCACCTTATGGGAAGGTGGGTGGGCACCTGCCTGCCCAGCAGGGCTGAACTCAGCCCTGGGCCGCTTGTCGTGGGCACATCACTCCAGTCCTGTTTGTGGGGCACTCTTCCTCTAGGGCCCAGCGCGTGAGGGACAGTCTGGACTTCAGAGAGCTTTACTCCCACAGGTGTTGCAGGGACACCGCCAGTGTCCCTTCCCTGTAACCTAGCTCCATGATTTCAGGCTTACAGAACAATACAAAGAATTCCTGGATACCTTGATCCCGACTCCTTAAATTTACCATGTGTGCTTTACCCTTCATATATACATCTGAACATCGAATGCTTCAAGGCTAAGGTGCAGATATGATGTCCCTTTCCCCCTAAGGACCTGTGTACCTGTGTGCATTTTCTAAAACCCAAGAATTTTCTTACATAACCACAATGATCATAATGAGGGAATTAAAACAGATACGATAGTATTCTTCAATCTGTAGGCCTCACTCGGATTTCAGCCCGTCAAATCTCTGCGTCCTACAGTCTGCAGGATGCCTTGAACCCATGGTAGTTGCTCCTGTTTGTCATAAATGATAATAATAGATGTAATCATCAAGGTTGTTACTAGTTAAACATTTACAGTGGCTAGAGCTTCGGATATAAACTCACCATTCCCAGCACATACCTATAGAAAGGGTTATGTTTCCAGTTTTACAGATGAAAACAAGAGAGAGACTCAGAGAGGTTAATGGTTTCGGGGCAGAGCCAGGTCTGAATCAAAGTTGGGTGTCAGCTGGGGTGATAGGATGGAAGGTGGGCTTGCTTTTCAGTGAGACGGACGATGAGGTTGAGGCGTTTGGGAGTGAGGCTTCCTTGGCGGTGGGGCTGGGCTGTGAGTTCGTTATGTGTTTAGTGTTGACATGTACCTAGAGATTTCCTTAACCTGAGCTTGTTCTGTCTGTAAGGTGATAGTAACGTCTTCCTCTGTTTCGTGAGGATAGAACGAGGGAGCGCACAGAGTACTTGGTGTGAGGCCAGCTGTAGGAAATCTGTTACATGTCGGGTGAATACATTTAAACCTGTTGCAACCAAGAATTGCCCTCCTGGTCCCTTTAAACAACTTTCAGGGTCAAAGGAAAAGGGGCAAAAGGGTTTTGTTCAGAAATGGCTGTCGCCCGCCCCCTAGAGGACGACAGTGTCAGCACAGCATCTTGAGACTTTCGTGAGCCCGCCCCCATCAATGAGTGACTGGCCTGGCATTGGCCAATGTCTGTCCTTAGCGTTTTGTACCCAGACACGTGTGTGTATAAGAACCTTCCGGGATCTGCAGACGGAAGAGAGCCAGTGAGGAAGGTGCTGAGTTGGCAGGTGGTGGGACCTTCCTTTAGACACAGAGACAGCCTTCTCCACTGCTCGCCAGAGCACTTTTGCCGATGACTGGAGACATTCTGGGTTACCAAATAGAGGGAGGGGTGCTACTGATCTCTAGTGGGTCCAAGGCCCGACATGCTACCTACGCTGCACAGGATGGCCCCCAACAACTGGGACAAGCCCCGAGCTTCCAACCACAACATGAATAGTGCTGAGGCTGAGAATCCCTGATTCAGAGTCATGTGTACAGTGATGCTGTTGCTTTGTCACATGTGCCATCTCTGTCTCAAAATCTCAGATTCAGCTGCTTGTAGCATAATGGTTATGTAAGCTTACTGTCAGCTTCCAAAAACCAAGGGCCTTTTATGTGTCCTGCAAGATGCTGATTACAAAATATCATTTAATAAATAAGAAACGGGCAAGTTGCAGTACCTTCGTGGAATTGTGCCCCACCCGTCCCCAAAGCATTAATGTCAACATCTCGAGCAAAACGAGGTCTTCTAAGTCACTGTACACCAAGCTGCTCCCTAAGCGTGGGGCGGATTTTCTGCCGTTTTGAGGTGATGCCGCTCTGTTCCTCTCTTTGTCAGAGGTCTGCCTCCTACAACAGTGCCCAGACAGGGAGGGCAGGCCCAAGAAGCCCTTAGCCCTGCAGGTTTGTGGTGACAGGGCCTGTGTGACCAGGGGCAGGAGGAAGGCGTGGCAAGGACGTGTTCTTCGGAATCAAACCTCTGGAATGAGAGGCATGCCTTCACATCCCTGCAGGAGCCTGCCCGTCACTCTGAAGGAGGCTGGATTTACACACTGCTTTACAGGCAGCCCTCCTGAAACCACAGTCCTGTCTACGGTCCACAGGGCACTGGCTGCGGGTGCTGCTCCCAGGAGCTGCCCAGGAAGGCTCAGGACAGTCTGGTAGGGAGAAAGGCAGCCTGGGAGCGGACAGGACACCTCATGAGAGAGGGGGGAGGCAAGGTGGGGACCGGACAATACAGGTAGGGATGGGACACCCCAGGAGGGGACGGGACACCCCAGGAGGGTACAGAACATCCCAGGACGGACAGGGGAAGGCCCAGGAGGGAACAGGACACCCCGGGAGGGGACGGGACACCCCAGGAGGGAGGGAGCGACCCTAGACTGGCCGGAAGCGCGGGGCCGGGCTTACGCGCATGCGCTGAGCTGCCTCCCTGTGTCCTCGTCCCACCGCCTTCGTATTTCCGGCATTTCCTATTTCCTTCCAGGGCACGAAAGCCCTCCGCTGGCCTCGGGCGGCGGCCCCTGACCGGAACCGGAAGCGGGACCCGCGCCAGGCGGGGAAGCCGGCGTCCGACCAGTCAGCAGACTGTGGCGGTCCCCAGGGGCGGCGGCCGCGCTGCTCGGTGCGAGCCAGTCCCGCGGTGGGGCGGGCGGCCCGAGGGCGCGGCACCATGAAGCTGTACAGCCTCAGCGTCCTGTACAAAGGCGAGCCCAAGGCAGTGCTGCTCAAAGCCGCGTACGACGTGTCCTCCTTCAGCTTCTTCCAGAGGTCCAGGTGAGCGGGCCCAGGCAGGGAGGCCCGGGGGGTGGGAGAGGGACGGTGGGGAAGAGGGGGAGGGCGGGGGAGAGAGGGAGAGGGAGGGGTGGAGGAGGCCCGGAGGGCGGGGGAGGGAGGTCCAGGCGGGGCGGGGGAAGGGTGGGGGTCGAGGCTAGTCGGGGGTGGGCGGCGGGGGCGTGGCCTCCCGCGGCGGAGCGCGGCGGTGGTCTCCTCTTCGGTTTGGGGACTGTACCTCGGAGGAATCCTCTTTGTTTCGCTGGAAAGGTTTATACTTTTCTAGGATATTATCCTTGTGCTCAGTGTGTTCTATATATCTGTCGTTATAAAATTATCAGTGGACTTGGAAAAAAAATGCCGATTCCCAGGTTGATACCCGGACTTTCCGAACTAGAGAGTTGGGGCCCAGAAATCTGTATTTTAACCTAGGCAGGTTGGGCGCCACCCCTTGGGAGCCGTTTAGGTTATCGGGTGGGTTTTCCCAACAATTCAGTGGGAGGGGTGCTCCGCTTTGCGGACGGAATCACCGAGGCCGCGAGAAACCAGCCAGGACCCACAGCCAAACTGTGTGCTGCTTCTGGGGGAGCCCTGGTGGTGCAGAAGGGTCTGCGCTGAAGATTTGGAAGGAAGCGCGGAATGTGTAGGGCCTACAGGCTTCCCCCTGTTTCTGGATGCTTCAGTATCAAGAACCTGTATATTGGAGACCCGGCAGCCCGTCGTGGGAGGGCTGGGCTGACTCAGGTACAAAAGGGGAAGGACCCTCCAGGGTCCATGTCTGTGGCCACACCGTCCGTCTGGACTCTAAGCATGCAGTTCCTGTTCCTGATGAGTGGGCTTTGCTGGCAGAATCTAAAACAGTTATGTTGTTATTTTGTGAAACGTTCTGCTTCTTTTGGGTCCTTAGTGAAGCACCTTCGTGATACTGTTTCCTTTAGCTGGGCTCCATTCTCTACTTGTCTGTGATGGGACATTTGGTACCAGCTTGGCCAGGTGATTCCCTTTCTTTGTCCTGGCCCATGTATACCGAGGGTTCTCAGGGATTTCAGGGTAGGGCCCTGACATCACTGGCAAGGGTTTCCAGACCATTTCTGGCGGTGAAAACAGCTGCAGCACTCCAGGGACACCCTCTTAGGGCAGCACACCATCCAGCTGTTTTCTTCTTCGGTCCTTCCTGCCTCATGTGACCAGACCCCAGGCTGTGAAACCTTCAGATGGTTCCCTGGCTTTTCTGGCTCTTGTGTGCAGACTTGCAAGAGTGTAATTCCTCCTTTGCCTAACGACCGTCCTTCTGTGAGCTCTGTCTCTGGTTAGTTTTATTGCAAGAACTTCCTTATGCAGAGACTTTTCTCTGGGATTATTATGATCACATCACTCTCCCAAAGCGACATAGCAAGTGCTACCATGCACTTGTGTGGCCATCACATCGCGTGCACAGACACAGCGCCGCAAGTAACTTGCTTGGAGGTCACACGTCTCGCACGTGGTGGAGCTGGGGTCCAGACAGGGACGTCCACCACAGGGTCAAAGGTCCTCACTCCACGTAGCCCCTTGCATGGCAGTCCCAGTCACGGGCTTTCTGTTGGCCCCTGTCCCTCTGGCTGCACTGTTGCCACCTGTGACTGTTGTGTTCCGGCTGCATCTTACTGTCGGGTGGCCCTGGTACAAGTCATTTCCTGGTCTCAGCTGAGCCATTGACTCCCAGAGCGGCCTGGCTGACGCACCACGGTTGAGCCAGTGTGCCCGAGGCCGAGTTTTGTGCCCTCGGCTATGTCCATGGTGCACGCACACCCTGCTGCAGCGTCTGGCATGTGCGGCAGCCCCCCGGTTGCATATCTGCCAGCTTCTGCTCCTGTGTGTGTCCTGGGGCCTCCGCTGACTGCAGTGTCAGCTCCCCATAGCCTGTAGAAGGTGCCTGGAGGTCAGGAAGTGGGTTGTCTGGCGCGGTGGGAGCAGCAGGCGTGGGGTGTACGGTCGGGGCGGTTGGTAACAAAACAGCGTTTATCCCTTGTCGCCAGGGCCGGGAAGGCAGTGAATGAAGCCAAGAAGCACTAGTTCCTTAGTGTCCGAGTTCAGAGGTCACCTTCCGTTGTGCTGGGGACAAGGTGACCAGAGTAGGTAATCCGCGTTGTGTTTCTTAGTGTTCAGGAGTTCATGACCTTCACAAGTCAGCTGATTGTGGAGCGCTCGGCCAAGGGCAGCAGAGCTTCCGTCAAAGAACAAGGTAAGAGGACCGCCCCCTCGTGGGTGTGCGCGCCATCCCTCCTGGGCAGCCTATGGCTCCTGGCACACCTCTGGCCTGTTCCTCCCTCCTCTTCCTTCTGTCTGCACTCGATGCTGAGCCCACTGCTGGCGCCTGAGTGGTCCAAGTAAACGTGCCCCCGCGGCTCAGACCTGCTTCAGATGAGGGTCTGACTCTTGGGGCCGTAAGCGGCCTTCCTGAATTCTCTTTTCATCCAGAGCTGGGCACACCTCAAAAAAGGATTTCCAACCAGCCCTGTTAAGGTAATTCTACAGCCTGTGCTCCTTAGGGTTTGGACCAGGAATCCGAAAACTCACCACATTTTCTCTTGGCTGTTGTTTTTTCCTTGTTCATAATTCAGGTTTCCTGTGAGAATCTTCAGGCTTTTATCGGAGAGGCATATGTTGTACAGACCGATCAGGAGAGACAGACGTGTCGTACCGACACATCGTGTGAACTTCATTGGGCAGAGATGGCCCATCGCACACAGTGCCACCCTGGTCACCATCCCCGGGGTGCTTCTGTTCTGTGTGAGATCCCAGTACTGATCATGTCGCAGAAGTGAAATTGGGCCGTGAGCGTGGAAACACTCTGGTTCCCACCGGCTGTGTCTGCTTCCCCAGTTTTCTTCCTGAGATTGGTTCCATCCGCACCAATCCAGGGTCTCCGGTTCTGTGGATGCACCTCCACTCGCGTGTGATCCTTCTTATTCGGGAGTGCAGACAGAGCCTGGAGAGTGTCGGTGACAGTCCTATCCCCCACCCTGCTCTCCTTTACTGCCCTTTCTTGACTCTGGAGCTCTTCATCTCTCCCTCTCCCCTTTCCTTGTTTTCGTTTTGCGTCAGGGTCTGGTGCTTGAACATCTTAAAGACAAGAAGGTTCTTGTTTGTCAGCTGTCAACCTCACATCCCTTTTACTGTGGTGTAATTTTTAATCCTTTTTAAAATGACAAAGCTTTGGGGTGCCTGGGTGGCTCAGTCGGTTGATTGTCCGACTTCAGCTTAGGTCATGATCTCATGGTTTGTGGCTTCGAGCCCCGCATTGGGCTCTGTACTGACAGCTCAGAGCCTGGAGCCTGCTTCGGATTCCGTGTCTCCCTCTTTCTCTGCCCCTTCCCTGCTCATGCTCTGTCTGTCTGTCTCTCTCAAAAACAAACTTGAAAAAAATTTAAAATAATAAAATGACAAAGCTTCGTGTCCTGAATGATGACTGTTTTGTAGTAGCCTTTGTACAGACTGTACTTTTGGATAATTTGATGATTTTAGCACAGGCATCCGTAGCCAGCAGTGACTAATTTTTTTGTAAATGGACCTTCTCTCAGCTGTCCTCCCCTCCCCTCTCCTCTCCCTCCCTTACACCCTCCAGCACAGAACAGAACAGGCCAGGTTTCCTGTAATGATGAAATCTGGGGCCCCGAGAGGTGATGTCTTGATTTGGGTCCACTCTTATAGGGATTTTTAAATTATTTTTTATTTATTTGAGGGGGGGCACATGCATGCGTGCACAAGTGGGGGAGGGGCAGAGAGAGAGGGGGACACAGGATCCGAAGCAGGCTCCAAGCCATCAGCACAAAGCCCAACACAGGGATTGAACCCACAAACTGTGAGATCATGACCTGAGCTGAAATTGGACGTTTAACTGACTGAGCCACCCAGGCGCCTCTCTCTTTTTTTTTTTTTAAGTTTATTTATTTTGAGAGAGAGCAGGGGAGAACAGAGGGAAACACAGAACCTGAAGCAGGCTCCAGGCTCTGAGCTGTCAGCACAGAGCCTGACGCAGGGCTCAAACCCATGAGCTGGGAGATCGTGACCTGAGCCAGAGTCTGACGCTCAGCTGACTGAGCCACCTGGGCGCCCCTATAGGGATTTTTAAGAAATTGGAGGCTGCTTGTCTCATACAGGGTCTCCTCAGCTTGGGACAGAGTGGAGCCTGAGAGGTGCAGCCCCTGAACTGCAGCCAGGCCTGGTCTAGAGCTCAGGGTGTAACTTGGAAATGCATCTGGGGCTGTGTTGCCTGAGACGTTTTCTGCTCTCCTGGCTTTGCACGCCAGGCCCCTGGGCATTCGCTCATCCTAAAGCAGGTGTTGGGCCGTGCCATGCTAGTGGCAGAGATCCATTATGCACTGTCCTGTGTGAACTTCAATGACCCAGAAGGCAAGGGCTCAGCCTTGCGATGCTTTGATGATCAGGGGTGAAAACGTCTAATGGCCTTAGGTTACCATCTACATGTCTGGCCTCTTCTCAGAGTATCTGTGTCACGTCTACGTGCGAAACGACAGCCTTGCAGGAGTGGTCATTGCTGACAGTGAATATCCGTCCCGGGTGGCCTTTACCTTGTTGGAGAAGGTGAGTTTGCAGTGTGGCCAGACTGGATTTGGATGGACAAGTGTGGTCAGTGCCCAAGGGACAGAGGATGAAGTAATATGTCCGAAATCAACCCATTTTTTTCTTGGCCCTAAACCAAGAGACAGTCTGGCATCCCTTCCCAGTTTCTTTCCCTGGCACTGATTTCTGCCTGTCCTCGCTCCCATGTCTGGGCTCATGTCCCCAAGTGCCACCTTGACTCACCATGTCTGCCTCAGTGTCACAGCCTCCTTCTGGGATGGGCCCTGGGTCCATCTCTATCTGTGCTCTTTCCCGGCCATTCCTCTGGCCAGTCTCCTCCTGCCTCTGCCCTCAGCAGTGGTGACTGTGGCTCCGTGCCCTGCCCTGCGGCCGCCTCCCTCCATCAAGCTGTCCCTACAAACAGTGGGCCCTCCCACCTCTGTGCTTCTGCCTGTCCCGCAGTGATGGGCACTCCTTCCCCACTCTGGTCCATTGCCTGTGTGCGCTTTGGTCCTTTGAGCAGCACTTGTCATAAACCCTTGAGGGTGCCGGCCCCTGGCCTCCTGGAGCACAGCTGCACTTACAAGCCAATGAAATCTGGTGGTCACTTAAATCCAAAGGATCTAGTTCCCTTTTGAAGAACTGTTTTGGAAACCAGGAGGGCCAGCACTCTTTCTCCTAGAACTTTATGACCACATAAAAGCAGAAATAGTTTAAAATTTGAATACTTTTATTGTTCTCCAGATGAGGTTCATCTTAGGCTGGGTACGCTTTGTTTTTAATCACCAGAGTACTTAAAACTTGAGCCTCAACGTGCCCTTGGCCACTAGCTGTCCTCCCCTTCCCTCCTCCTGGGGCCTGCCTGCCTCTCTCAGGTAAGGCCATCTGCTGAAGCCTATAGCTGTGGGCGGTACTGACATGCTCCTTTGTCTTGCAGGTACTAGACGAATTCTCCAAGCAGGTGGACAGGATAGAGTGGCCAGTCGGATCCCCTGCTACAATTCACTACACGGCCCTAGACGGCCACCTCAGTCGCTACCAGGTAGGCTGTCTAGTCACCCCGGGGAGAGGCCGTGTGACACAGGAAAGCCAGCACCCCTGACTGCTGTGGCTCTGGGTGACTCCGGGCAGCCTTGGTGTCGACGTCTCTTTGAACCATGCAGGGGCCCACGTTACGACCTGGATCTAAGACCTGAAACCGGAGCCCCGCGGCAGGCTTCCACCTCCCTGTCCTGTGTGGAAGCAGCTGCAGGTTTTAACTTGGGAAAGTGTGTCCAGCTCACTTGGTTTGAGCTTTGTTTCCAAATGGTCCTGATATTACTTTTGGCTCTTCCCCTAGAATCCTCGAGAAGCTGATCCCATGACTAAGGTGCAGGCTGAGCTGGATGAGACCAAAATCATTCTGGTAAGCAGGGTGGGGGCCAGCACGTCCCAGAGCTGAGGGCAGAAAGCCTGGCAGCCACCACGCTGCCATCAAGGCTTATTGGGAGTTCTCATCCAAACACTTTTCTTTTTTCTTTTTTCCTAATGTTTATTTTCGGGGGGAAGAGGGCAGAGCACAAGTTGGGGAGGGGCAGAGAGAAAGGGAGACAGAATCTGAAGCAGCCTCCAGGTTCCAAGCTGTCAGCATAGAGCCTAACGTGCAGCTCGAACCCGCAAACTGTGAGATCATGACCTGAGCCAGAGTCTGGCGGCCGACTTACTGAGCTACCCAGGTGCCCCTCAAGCACTGTTCTGAAGGGGGTGTTTGCCTGCTTCTTCCTATGCGTCCAAGGCCTCAAAGCCAGACTTGCTTAGGCAACGCTATATCTATCTTTCCTGCCAGTTGTAGGGGTCCACACAGAGAACCAGTGTGGACCTCCATCCTACCCTCCCACCCTCCCCCCTGCCAGTGAGGTCCGCCATTCTCCTGCCAGTGTGGTCCTCCATTCTACCCTGGTGTGATCCTCCGCCCCCTCCCTGTGTGATCCTCTATCTTCCCTCCAGTGTGGTCCTCTATTCCTCCCGTGAGGTCCTCCATCCAACCCCCCCTTGTCCTCCACCCACCCCTGTGCAGTCGTCCATCTGCCCCCACATGCAGTCTTCCATCCGCCTCATGTGGTTCTCCACCACCCCCATGCAGTCCTCCATCCCACCCCTTTGAGGTCCTCCCCCCTCCCCCGTGCAGTCTTCCATCCCCGCCCCCTGTGGTCCTGCATCTACCCACCTTGTGGTCCTCTATGCCTCCCCCATGAGATCCTCCATCTGCCCCCACTGTGTGGTCCTCCATCCCCCCCCATTCAGTTCTCCATCCCCCACCCCATGCAGTCCTGCATCCACCTGCCCTGTGGTCCTCTATCCCTCCCCCATGAGGTCTTCCATCTGCCCCACCCCAATGTGTGGCCCTCCATCACCTGCCCCATGCAGTCCTGCATCCACCCGCCCTGTAGTCCTCCATCGCTCCCCCGTGAGGTCCTCCATCTGCCCCCCCATGTGGTCCTCCATCCCACCCCCGTGCAGTCGTGCATCCACCTGCCCTGTAGTCCTCCCTCCTTCCCCCACAGGATCCTTTATCCACCCCTGTGTGGTTCTCCATCCCCCGCCCCATGCAGTCCTGCATCCACCACTCCCCTGCCGGTGCAGTCCTTCATCCACTCCTGTGCGATCCTCCATCCATCCACCCCGTGTGATCCTGCCTCCACCCGCCCTGTGGTCCTCCATCCCTCCCCCTGTGGTCCTCCGTCCCCTGCCCCGTGAGGTCCTCCATCCACCTGCCCTGTGGTCCTCCATTCCCCCCCGCCCCATGTGGTCCTCCATCCCCCTGGTGCTCCCCTCTGGGCAGTTGCTGGTTGTGAAGGTCTGAGTTCTTTGGCTCTGCTATCCTGTGCTGATGCCTTTTGTAGTTTGTCTCCAAGCCCAGTAGGTGTGTCCCTTTGCGGGATGTGGGCTGTGGGGGCAGCCAACAGCCGCCAGTATGGAGTAAACACAGATCTAGGGTTGTTAGGTCCTGGTCAGCAGACCAGGAACCTGCATCTTATTGAAATCTCCTGGTTTGTAACCATTGCTTCGGCTTTTCATGCACCCTTTTTTTCCCCTTAACTTTGATCTATTTTTGGTACTTGAGGCATTTTTGTTTTCATCTCAAGTTTGGTCCTGTGGTCCCTGCCTCATGCCTGCCACCAGTCTGTCCAGTAGTCGGTGACCATCAATATGTCCCTCTCTGCTTACAGCTCCTCAGCGGCTCTCAGGACAGCTGTGGGGCCACGTGCAGGCTCCCTGGCATGGCCCCATGGTCTCGTGTCTCCCTTTCCTCCCTGGCATCCCTGCAAGTGCCTTCGTGCACAGGCCTCCAGGACGCCACCACATGGTCTTTACTTGTCTGTGCGTCTCCCTAACTAGTGTGTGAGCTATCAGGACTGGGAGTTTGTCCTTATTCCTACGTCCCTGTCCCCAGTACAGTGCCATGCTTAGGCCACCAGTGCCCAGTGGCTCATGGACCCCAACTGAGTGGATACAGAGCCCAGAAAAGGTGCCCAGGAAAACCCTGCCCAGACATAAAACTCCTGCCACCGCTGGCTCATCTTTGGTGCACACACGTGTTTCGGGGGACAGGACCCAGGTGCTCGGGACCACGCTTTGAGTCACGTGGTTCTGGGGCTTGGGAAGGAAAGTGAGACATGACAGTCTTGAGGTGTCTGCATCTTTCACCGTCTGCTCCCCTACGTCTTCTGACCGAGCCCCATCCTCTTGTCCTGCGCCCTTCATCTCCTGCCCCATTCTGCTGCTCCTGCCGCCTGACTGCGGAGGGCAAACGCGTCCTGGCCCTGTTCTGGCTGCAGAAATCCGGTTGCTGGTCCTGCAGCCGGTCTTCCCTTCTATGTCTTCCTGTGGCTGACTGCTGTGGTGAGAACCTGAGCTGTGCAGCTGCACGTGGAGATGAAAAGATTGCTTATTCTTAGGTCTGCGCATTTCATGCTTGTGTGCCCACGTTTCTGCCACTCACTCCAAAGAGGCCTCGGGGAGTCCTGTGGCTGCTCCAGCAGTGGCTGTCCAGGCTGGAAGCGAGCCAGCCACTTCCCAGTGGCACCAGGGCCGGGAGCTCTTCTGAGGGCCCTGTCTCTTCACTCCTGAGATGGGGTCTGGGTGCGGCCGTTCCCTGGGTGCTAGCATGCTAACACAGTCCCCTTCAGGGAGGTGAAGCGCAGCTGTCTGGTGGGAATGCGTGTGTGTGTGTGAGGGCAGGTATCAGTGATTTGTAGAGTGTGCTTGTCTCAGCCTGCACTGTGGGCACCCCAAGGGATAGTCACTAGGTCCTGTCTTGTTTCATCCGCAAGCCTAGGACGCGTCTTGACGCATGGCAGGAAGGAACCCAAAGGAGATGTGCTTCTTGTGGCTGAACTTCAGGAGGGACTCATGTCAACTAGCTTTGTGAACAGAAGAATGTTCCTTCCTTTTGTGTCCCTGCAGCACAACACCATGGAGTCTCTGCTGGAGCGAGGGGAGAAGCTAGACGACCTGGTGTCCAAATCCGAAGTGCTGGGGACACAGTCTAAAGCCTTCTATAAAACGGTGAGCACTGGCGCTGGTTGCTCTGGGCACCGTTCCCTAGGGTTCTCCGCACTGCTCGAGCCTTCAGGACGTTCAGTGACCTGTGGGGAGAGTGGAGGGGGTGGCCCAGGTCCAGCAGCGGCCGCAGGGTCCTCGAGTGCCGCCATAGCGGAAGTGGGCAGAGGCCTCTTCCGGCCTGTTTGTGGCCTCAGGCCCCAGGACCCCAGGAGGGTGGGTCTGCTCGGCTACTCATGGAGCAGATAGGTGCTCAGTCTTCCCAAAGAGGCCCTTTCGTCTCTACTTGTCTCCCTGCAACAGAGAGGCCTCACTATCTGGACGGTGCTGGGGCTGAGTTTATTTGTCCATGCACATCTGCTGTCCTGTGTGCTTGGAAGGGGCCTGGGCATATCTGTGAGTCGGGGGCGGGAGGGGGGTCTACCCAGTTCTCTGAAGTCCTTCTCGGTATCGCCTCCCCGTGTGCTGTCCTATAGCACATGGGGACCTAAACTGGGCCAAAGTCAGACACTCAGTCCCCCCCACGTGGCCTTGCTCCCCAACCCCCAGCACTGACGGGGGCCCACCTCGGGTGCCCCCAGGTCCTGCACCGGCTCAGCGGTCCGATTCCTGGAGCCTCACAGGGCCCTTGCCGCGTGTGCCCTGGTGGAGCTGCCGGCCACCTCTGTCCCCTCCAGCTCCTGTTTGTTTCTTTCAAGGCCCGGAAGCAGAACTCTTGTTGTGCAGTCATGTGACAGCAGCGCGCAGAGGCCCCTGGGCCGAAACGCCCCATCATTCGCATCAGAACCACAGCCCCTCGAGCAGCAGAGCCACCACGGGAAGTCTCTGCACCCCTGGAGCCCTTGGCAGGGACCGAGGGGTCGTGGAAGAGCCTGGGGGTGGGGAACATTCAAATTTACATGCCTGGTGATTTTTGAAAAGATGGTTTCAGGCACCCAGGGGTGTATCATTAGGCCAGATGAAACTATAAACTCTGAGTGACTCACACCGATGCTGACGGGCTCATCTCTCACTCCTGGGAAGACCCGTGGGCCCCAGACCTGGGCAAGGCCCTCAGCAGGTCGGATCCTGCCTTGTTGGGCTTTAATCTGCCTTTGGGTTGTGTCTGTGCATGGACTGCGTTAACGCTGCAATAAGCCGAGGGGAGGCTGGACTGCAGGGCTGGGGACACAGAGCTGGGGCTTGGGTCTTGGGAAACCCACTGTGGGCAGGCCTGAGGCGTCGAGGGCCAGCAGGGTGTAAGCGCTTCAGGCCAACGTCTGTGGTGGGAGGCGACGGTCACCCGGCTTCACAGATTCTGGGGCACCTTTGCGCTTCTGAATTGACCTCTTGCTGAGGGCACTACTTGTCCGTCAGGTTCCACAGAAATGCCTGCAGGGGTGGAGGGGTGGGGGGCCTCTTACCTGACTTGCAGTTGGGCTCTGACCGCCAGGTCACAGCAGTGTGTGCTCTCAGCCTGTGTTCCCTTTGTGTCGTTGGTAACAAGACTGTCCTAGCAACCACCTGGGATCTGTGCACCTTTGCAAGTGGCCTTTCCCGTGGCTGCCATTCCTGGGCACCAACACCAGGTACCGGCCATCCCGAGCCTTCTGACGCCCCATGGGTGCGGTCTGAGCCAGCGCCTCCCTAGCCCGGCCCCTGCAGGGGCACTGCTCGAGGCCCCCCCCATCCAGCAGCCCAGGCCCTGCTGCCTCCTCGTGATCTGTAGTGCTTACTGAGGACACAAGCTTGCAACGCGTCCTTGGGACCTGCTCGCCCCGAAACCCCTCCTGGAGTGGTGTCAAACGGTCCCATTGTGGGGGCACCCTTCCCTGAGCTGGTTCTTGCCCTACCCAGGAGGTCCCACCACCCTGGCAGCAAATGCCAGGCCTTGAAGTCTGTTGTGTGGACTAGAAGGTGGGACTTTGTGGCTGCTGAGGACCCTGCCCAAATGGGTGTACCTGGCGGCTGCCCTTTTGGCTCTGGGCACTGTGCCAGCTCCTAATGTAGCCTAGGCTGCGGGACTCTGGGCAAGGTGCCAACCCGCCTGCTTGCTGGCGCCCAGGGGACTCCTACTTCCCCTTAAGGACAGCGTGGTATGTGAGTCCTCCAGTCTTGGAGGTGGCTGAGGAGGAGCGGGGGTGGGTATGGGGAAGTGTGGATTGGGGTGAGGTGGGTGGGGCTGGCTCACGCCTGTGTAGGCACAGAGCACTTGGCAAAGAGTGTATTTTATAGTAACTGCTGCCTAACTGTTCTGTTTGGAAGATTTTTTTTCTGGATAAAGTTGTCTTTTTAAATTCTACAATAGTCCTCTGCTTTGTTCAAGCCTCAGGGATGCCTCCCCGTTGTGCCCTTGTGAGGTACAGGGTCCTGGTGCAGAGGCTAGCCCTGCTGTGACCCCTGGGCTAGGGGGACCGGCCTGGGAAGCTGCTTTGCAGCCACAGCTGGGGCCACACAGATGGAAAGTCCTCAGGAGCTGGGGGCGGGCTCTACAGGCATGTGGGGTGCCTGGTGCCTCCTTGGGTGCTTATAGGCCGAGGAGCCTCGAGTCTGATATCAGGTTAGTGAATAACCTCAGTGGCTGGTGGTTAGAGGGTCTGAAGACTTTGCAGCCTGTCATTGCTGGCACCGGGCCTTGTCTTCGGTCTTAGTGTGACTGTGGAAATGAGAAGTAGCTTTGGGATTTGTGGCTGGACTGAGGGCATTAGCTTCTGCTTGGAGGACCTGCTGGGGCACGGGGTCTCCCCGAGGCCCAAGGAGCCTTGCCCAAAGCAGGTACCATTTAAGTGATGAACCAAAGACTGTCTCACTGACCTCGCTCTGTAGTTCCCCAGCCACCCTGCACGGGGCACCCAGCCTGCAGGTCCTGCTCCACACCCCAGGACTCCAGGTCCTCGGGGGTGGGCCAGGCTGTGGTGAGTGCCTGCAGGGATGCCTGGCCTGGAGAGCCTCCTCGGATTACGGCTGATAGGTGAGTGGAGCCCTAGATACAGAGCTGCTCACTCCAGGGTTGTGTCCTAGATTCCCTGAGCCCTACTCTCGGAGTCTCTGTGTGCTCTCTGGCACAGCCTTTCCTCCTGAGAACACCTGCTGGGCACCAAGGAGCTGAAGTCAAGAACCTCCAGTTCTAGTGGGCAGGACTGGGGTGGCCAGAGAAGACCCTCCGCCCAGCGTGCCCTTCTTACCAGAAATCACTTAGATACCTGAGTCAGGAATGTTTGGTGTTTAGGATTGTTTTGAGGCCCATGTTTCTGTCCCAGAAAAGCATGAGACATAAAGTACAGGCAGGCATTGGCAGGGCCTGGGGACATGGTGTGGAGGGGAGGCTCCCACATTTGTATGAGGGAGCATGTGGGTTCTAGCAGGGCTGCACTAGGTCTGTCCAGGAGGGCAGAGGGCCAGGGCGCCCGCAGCAAAACCGGCAGAGCACAGGCCCCAGAAGCCCCAGCCTGGCTGGGCCCGAGCACGTGCAGCCATGTGCTGCTCAGATGTCCTCAGGCCAGGTGGCCGTGGGGCCGTGCATTCAGACAGCCCCGGGGCCACATGGTCCTGCCTTCTTGTGCTCAGTGCTCATGCAGCAGGCACAGTCCCAGGGAGGGTGCTCTTGGGGGAGGCCCCGGATGACTTTGCCTTCCCACGCTGCGGGGGTACAGTGGTCAGCTGGTGATGTGTCCATCCTGAGTGACAGGCCAGGGCCACAGATGATGGTGTAGAGCCCGCCCACCAGGAGGGTGGGGATGGGGGATGGTCACAGGGAAAGGGAAGGAGGGCCCTGGGATAGAGCCCCCAGCTGCACATGAGGCCGTTTGTCCTGTTTTTCTTTTATTTGCAGTTTCCCGAGACAGAACAAAATAATGATTTTTTTACACTTACAAGGCTCAGAAAGAAAAGACAATGAAACTCAGCAAAAAGAGAGAAGAGGAAGGGCCGGCCAGCACTGCAGGCAGCCGGCCTTCCGCAGAGCCGGCCGGCCGACGCCACCACACCTCGGACGTCTAGCTAGAGGAGCAGGTGCGGCTTGTCGAGAGGGGTCATGCAAAAGAACTATCCCCCAGAAAAAATTCCCAAATTATCCCAGACAGGCAGCTCTGTGGAGATAACAGGTGAAGAGGGGAGGGGGGGAGGCTCCCAGAGGGGAGGGTGGCCGGGCCACACGGGGTCCACGGTGAGCACTGCCAATACCCGAGGCCCAGGGAGCCTGGCAGATGTTTACCCTGTGTCCATGGGTGGAGACAGCTGTCCTGAGCACAGCCGTGGATGGCTCCCTTGGCTTGATTTGTGGGGGAAGATAAAGAAAATCCTTGTTGAAAATGTGAATTAAGGGGGCAGGTGTTGGGGCAGTGGGTCCCGCATCTCTTCTATCACAGCCCCTGACCACCCTGACCTGGCTGGCTGCCCTGGGACCCTTGTGCTGCCATCTCACCACAAGGCCCGAGTCTGAGGCACACCTCCCTGCCCACCAGCATGAGGGACACCTCAGGATGGGCCCAGTCTGCCTTCTTCCCATCCCAGGGTCCCCGTCACACACAGCAGCCTCCCTCAAGAGGCCTGGCCGGGGTTCCGCCATGCACTGCCCCTTGAGCCCAGGGCGGCCCACCTTCCTTCCCTCCCTTGGCTCCAGACCCAGACTTCAAAAGCACTGTCTGCAAACACCTGCCTGGACCAGCCTCTGCTGGGAGCCCAGGGAGCCACATGCCCACCTTCTGACCCTGACCCCTCTTCCCTTCCTGTCTCTTGACCAAGGCCGGAGCCCCTCATCGCCGCGCCAGCAGGAGGAAGGTGGGCAGAGGGGGAGGTGACCCTGAAGGGGAGGGAGGCTGGCCCAGGGGCTCCCCTCCCAACCAGGCTGCAGCCAACAGCGTCCTCTCCACAAGTCTGCCAGGCATGAGGTCTGAAACTAAGGGGTGCCCCCACCACACTTCCCTGGCCCTGGAGGGATCAGAACTGGAGCCCTGGGACAAAGGGGGCTTCTTGGATAGCTTGCCCGGTGCCCAGGGGCTGACCCAGCCTCTGCACTGCTCATCCATGTTGGGGGCATGAGAGGAAAGGAGGGGGACAGCCGTGCTCAGGTCCCCTGGGCCCCAGGTGGCCGACACTCCTGACAGCAGCCATGCACGGCAGGGAATGCAGACGCCTGGGGACGGGCGTCACCTAACACACACCGGTCCTCGGCCCGGCCCCTGTGGACACGTTCACTGCCCCACGGTCCCCAGGGGCCAGGAGTGGACAGACACATGGAGCGTGGGTGGGGGGTGCCCGTCGGTCCGAATCCCCACAAATGCCAGTGATTTTTACAGCTTTTTCCTTTTTTTTGTTTTTGTTTTTTTTTTCATTTCATCCAACATCAATTGTTTCTGTGGTTGTTGTCTTGTTGTTAAAAAGAAATCACGTCCGGTCTTGGTTTTCTGCAGACACAGGCACCAGGGGAGGAACGAGGCAGACACAAACATGCGACAGGCAGGCCACCGTGGGGTGGCCGGGCTCCAAACACTGAGTCTGTCCCGCGACTCGGGCCGCGGCTCTGAAAGGGGGTGAGGGCGGGCGATCAGCCCCGCCCCCAGGGGTGTGGCCCGCGCCCCTGGCAACCCGCCCCCAGCCCCTCGCAAGGCCTCCACCAGGGACACCCACCTTCACTGCAGCGGGGCCACGGGTGCGCCCGAGCAGTGGAAGTGTACGTTCTGCCACTTGCCATCACGGCGATGCCACACGCGCGTCTCCTCAGACTGGCTGGTGCGGGGCCGGCCCTGCCCGTCGATGTACTGCGTGAGGCGGATGTAGGCGATGCACGCAGCGTCCTCCCCGATGACGTGCACGTGCGGGTTCAGGATGGTCGTGTGGATAGGCTTGCTGTTCTTGGCGAGCACTATGGGAGGGGGCGGGGCCAGGGAGCTGGGCTCCACGGGTGCCCTATGCGCCCCACTGCCCGTCCCCAACCCCACCCACCGCTGGTCTCTGCCTCTCTCCTGTACCTGCCTCACCCGCACCCTTACCACCACCCTGCGCCCACCACCTATCCACTGCCCTGTGCCCCACCCGCTATTCAACCGTACTCACGGTTCTCAAAGTAGAATCTGTGAAAGTCCATCCCTTCCACCAGATTGCCCAGGGCTTCAGGCTCAAAGGAGGTCAGGCCTGGGTCACAGATTTTCCTGGGGAGCAGACCCAGGTGAGGAGGGGCCCTGGCCGCACCCTGCTCCTCCCTCTTGCAGTGGGGAAGCAGCCCCCCCCACCCCGCAGCCCAGATGCCCGGCTCACGCATAGGCTTCAAAGTCCCCGTTGTTGACTGCCTCGATGAGCTGCTCCGTGATCTTGATGACCTCCTGCTTCCGTGCTGCAGGGACACAGCCACCTAGTGATGGGAGGCCACCCCAAGCAACCCTGCTGCGGGCCTAGGGCAGGGTGCCCCCAGACCCCACCTGCCTCTCCTCCCCCAGAGGGACCCAACCTGTCCAGCCCGGACTGCACCCTCTGAGGCCACCAGCGGCCCCCGTGTTTCCAAGTCCACATAAAGCATCTCCATGGAATAGAAACACTCCCTCGGAGGGACCACATGTCTGGAGGCCGGGAAGCAGAGCCCGCCATGACCCGCTCTGCATGCTCCCCCATCCCTGGGCCGCATCCACCGGGCCTTTAGCAGCTGTGGCACTGGGTCCAGTGTCCCAGCTCCTGCCACCTGGATGGGGCTCAGCAGCCCTGCCCCCACCCATCACGTTTTTGGGATCGTCCACTAAGAGATGAGGCCAGGAGGGAGTGGGGGCTGCAGGGCAAGGATGTGAGCAGAAGTCAGGGGGTAGGGCCACTGGGGTCCAGTCGGGAAGCCAAGTCCGTGGGTCTCTCCCTGACTGCCGCCAGCCTCCACTTGTACGGTTCTGGCATAGGTGCCCCCACCCCCATTGCCAATCCAGCCAGGGCTCTGCTGGCTCAGCCTCTGGACCCAGTCAGGCCTGGTCCCCAGGGTCCCCTCCACCTCTTTAACTACAATTTATTTTCATGGAAACTCAAACACATGGAAGAGTGGAGACTACTACAGCCCCCCACCCTGCTGATTCAAACCAGCACAACTCAGGACTGCTAGGAAATAAAACCTCACAGGTATGCTTGTTAGTGCCTGTGTCCCCCTAAATCCTGTGCTTCACCTCCCTCCCCAGAGAACTCCTGTCCTGACAGAGGTGCTTACTGCCCTCCCTGCAGGTACACACCAGAATGCACACGGCATGAGCACATGTGCACACACATCACAGTGATCCATTAAAGCAACAGCATGCTGGTGCTAAACCTTGGACGCAGCGAATGCACTGAAGGCAGGACCACCTCTCCACAGGCTTCCTCCTGGGTCTCAGCCACACCAGATCCGTGTGTCTGAGCATTCCCAGCACCCCTGCATGGCCCTTGGCTCTCTGCCCCTGGGGGTGGGCGTCTGTCTGCAGGTCTCCACTCTTTAGTGAGCAGTACCCCTGGGAACAGCACACAGGTGAGCTGACCCACAGGGCAGGGTCCCAGTGCATAGACTGCAGGGTCTAGAAGGTGCACGTGGTATCCTGAAGCATGTGCCCATAGCCCTGGAGTGGGGGCTGGCCCCTTCTCCCTGCCACAAGCACCCACAGATGCTCACCTGGAGGGTGGACGAGTCTAGGCAGGCCATGAATGCTGCACAGGTTTGAACCGCGAGGGCACGAGGCCCTCATGACACTCAAGGTGTTGGGTGCACGCGTGGACTTGTGTCCCAGGAGAGGGCGGGCACATGTGCACATATGTGCTTGTTTGCATGTGTAGATTCGTGTGTGTGCTGACTTGCAAGTTTTTCCTACTTTGAAAAACCCTCTCTCCAGGCCCAGCTGACTTCTGCTAAGGTCCCGTTTCCCCCAAACTCTGTGTCTGGACCATGTTAGGCTTTGGGCTCAAGGCTGTTGCTGCACAGCCGGGCTCCAGGAAGGTGGGCTGCAGGCTTGTTACACTAAGGCCTCACGTCCCCCGTGTCCGCCTGCAGAGCTCTGTCCCTGCTCACGCCGTTCTCTGTTCTTAGTCTTGGGCTCCCCGGGCAGGGCAACACTGGACATTCAGGGTCCCTCTGCATCACCTGCCTTCCCAGCAACCTGCCACCGCCCTGCCCTCTGCTTGCGCATTTCTGCTGTGGGGACACTCATCCACCCTCCCAGGTCCCTGTCTCCTTAATGGAGATGGCTTCCCATGGCAGCACCAGAGCCGGGCACCCTCTACCTGTGTGAGGGTGGCGGCGCCTATGTGTCCGGACACCCGACACTCATTAGCCTCCCTTTCTCACAGACAGCACCCCACAGGAACCCGCAGCCAACAGCCCTGCCACTGGGGCTGAGCGACATTTCTTCTGTCTGGTTTCCGGGACACTCTGATTTTATGGTCACCCCAGACTACAGCAAGTCAACCTCATCTTCCACTTAAGGAGTATTGAGTGTTTTTAAACTGTAATAAAAAATGAGAATCCACAAGAAGGAAGTATTAAGTAAACAGGAGGAGAGAGTCAGGGTCATGACACAAATCGCAGAGCCTTGTGTATGGGAAACAGCCACTGCACCCATTCTGCAGACATAGAAGGCAAGACCTCAGAGAGGCTACTCCCTGGACCCAACCCTGGCCTGTGGGGCATGCTGCATGAGGGGCTCGCTCGAGGCGAAGCCTCTGAGCTAAGCACAATCTGACCATCAGCAGGCGACTCCGGAGACGGGGTAAGGGTCTGGCTTGGGAGGGGTTCCAGAGGTGAACAGGAGCCCCTCACACTCCCTCTGGCTCTCCTGGGGCGAGCTCACAGGCCAGGGAGGCCAGGCTGCTGGCAAAGGGTCTGGGGGGAACACTGGTGGCCCCAGACTGGCCCTAATACGGGTACCTTGGCATCTGCAGAGGCACCAGGTGTGCCCAGCCATATCAGGCAGGCAGCTGCAGAGGATCAGCCTGGATTGGGTGTAATCCCTGATTATGGAGAATGTGTCCTGGGCCAGTGGGCACCGACCCCATTTACACAGGAACACAGCTGGCAGGCGCATTCCTAGGGAGCAGGGGACCCAAGACCCACAGCCAGACGGCCCCTACAGCCTAGGCCTCTGTGCTGGGAGAGGCGGACCCTAGTCCCAGCGTTGAAGATGGGGGCACCAGGGCTTCACTGCTCAGAGCCTTGAGAGCCAGGTCTCAGCCCAAACAGTCCCTTCTCTAGGCTGACCTGACTCCTGGCCTTCACGTGTGGCCCACCCAACACTCAAAGGAGCTGGGGTGCTGGGAATGGGAGGCAGGGCACATCCAGGAGCTAGGAACCTGGGAGGAGGAGGCAGTGCATCTGCCCTCAACGTCCCTAGTGCTCACCCCTCCCCCACCAGTCCTGCCACACCTGTAGCCACAGGCCCCTGGCACCCCTCCCTTCAGCTCTGCTCCTGGCCCCTTTCTGTGGTCCCCACCTCCATAGTTTGGTTCAAGGTGGACCCCCAAGGTCAGCCCAGTGTACTCAGCCCCATAGCACGCCCTGTTCTCAGAGTCCCCAACCTATCCTGCTGTGCAGACTCTGAGGACAGGTGGCAGACCTGGGCCGGGGTACTGTGGCAGGTACCCCCTTCCACCCCGAGTACACTTCTCCATGAACCCAAGTCCCCTTGCTATGAAGCAAGGCCAGGCAGATCCAGGGTGGTGGGGCATGGATGCTGCACAATGGGGAGTTCTGACCCCTCCCCAGGCTCTGATGCACACCTACCACAGCCCTGCCCCCTCCCTCACGAGACCCCTAGCCAAGCCAGCAGGGGTGGGGGGTGCCCAGAGACCTGCACCTGCCCTCGTCCCTCTGGCCAAGTACGCTCCCTGGGAAAGCCACTGCTGCCTGAAGGCTGCCCCTGTGCCCCCCCCAACCCCCCGCCACTGCCTTGCTTGGCTCCCCTTCCTCCCTGCCCTGGCCCTCAGGCCTAGCCTGGGGGTGTGGGGGCACAGAGCCTGCCAGCACTCACCCAGACACTCCCCAGCCATGCCCGGCCCCTGGCCCGCAGCCTCTCATCTGACAGCACCTCCCTGCCGGTCTGTGTCTCCAGGCAGGTTGGGGGGGCTGTGGCCCTGGGCTGTCATCCATCCCTGTAAGCGATCCTTGTGGCAGTCCACGGACAGGCTGGAACAGCCGGCTCCTCCCTTCCTGCCTGGGAGGGGGGCAGCCCAGTGCCCCCCGGTAACCGACACTGCGTCACACAGGCCTCTAGTTCACCCTGATCATTCCTGAGCCTCTAGATCACCCTGATCTTTCCTACACGAACGCCCATCTGCAGCCACAAACTCAGCTTCTGAGACCAAATGCCACCTTTGTGTGGAACTCCCTGTGCCCCACTTTCTGCCCCACAAGCTGGCTCTTTCCCAGAGTGAGGGGGCAGCACACCACAACCAGGGGTCTCGACATCCCTGTGAGCCCCCAGGAGCAGCCAGGGGGCCACTCAAAAGTGCTACTTACATGGGGTGGGTGGGGGGGCTGGGAGAGCTGAAGATGGGCAGGGTGGGGGCCCCTGGGCTTCCGGGGCCCCTGAGCCCCTCCTCACTGTGTTCAGGATGTCAGAGAGCCTGGGGGCTGGGGTGGAACAGACCAGATGTGAACAGAGAGCAAGCAGGGAGCAGGCAGGATAGAAAACTGGGCTGATGAGCCAAACCAGAGAGAGTAGCGGGGCAGAGTGGGACATAGAGGAGGCATGGGGATGTAGGGGGACAGAAGGGGGAATGTGGAGGATGTAGAAGGATATGGAGGGTGAAGGTAGATGTGGGGAACACTGGAAGACATGGGGGGACAGGGAGGGTGAAGGTGGATGAGGAAGTAGGGGACATAGGGGGACACACGGGGGTATGTGGGGGATGTGGGGGGACAGGGAGGTAAAGGTGGACAGGGAGAGGCTCCAGTAATGCCTGGCAGATGCAGTTGTCTGCCTGCGACAGGGCAGTTGCTGTGGGCGGAGAAGGGAGCACTCCAGGGAGGATAGAGGAGGCAACCCAGCATGTGGAGAACCCAGGAGGGCAGGAAAGCCAGGCCTTTCCCTTCTCAGCCCATAGGCCTGTGGTTGAGAGGGGCTTCTGTAATAGCTCCTTGACCCTAGGCTCACTGGAGCCCGCTGGGTGCTCAGGGCAGGGGGCACCATGAGGCCACAGTGACTGGGAAGGTCAGGCAGGTGGTCTGAGGAAGGCAGGAAGCACAGTGGGCGACCCCAGAGGGCCCTGCCCTGCCCCAAGCTCAGGAGACCCTGGGGGGCTAGACCACAGTGCAGGAGGGAGGAAGGCTCGGAGTTGTCCTGAGGAGTTAGTGCCAGATGCCCAGCCAAGCCCGATCAGTTAGTCTCTGGCAACCTGGCTGGAGCAGTTGAGGCCGTGCATGGTGGATGCAGGAGCCACTGAGCAACAGGGGCAGCAGGCCTGGGACCACTACTTACACAGAGTGGGCAGGGGGCCTTCAGCTTCCAAGGCCCCCGAGCCCTTCCTTGTGGAGCTCAGGATGTCTGGGACTCTGAGGGCTGGTGTGGACAGGAGGCAGAGCATGAGGTGGGGTGGAGAAAGTAGGGCCCTGCTGTCTCCTGCCCCAGGACAGGTCTCAGCAGCAAGAAGCCGCTGGGCAGAGACCAGAGTGCGGCCTTAGCCCACATGGAGGGCCGGTCAGAGGGGCAGAGGCGGCTAGAGGGGACCTGGGTGGAGCATCCCTCCAGAGTAACAGGACCTACAGCAGGGCCCCGCCTCCTGATGCAGAGAAAGCAGGGGGCGGGGCGGGGGGGGTGTCCCTAATGGTGTGTGTGTGTGTGTGTGTGTGTGTGTAAATGACTGGGGGGGGGTGGCTTCTGAGCTCCCCGAGCCTCTCCTCAGGGAGCCCTTCCTCACTGTCAGGGACCCTGCAGGGAGATGAAACTGGAGACAGGTGAGGATACACAGGAGAGAAAGGACAAGGGACGGGACCAGGACCCCAGTGGGGTCATCCTGAGAAGCCCCAGACACCGCTCACAGCTGCCCTAAGACCAGATGGTGGGGTCCAGAGGCAGTGGGGATGCGGGAGGCAGGAGTGCTGGGAGACATCCAGACCTGTAACCCTCAGTGTGTGTGAGTAAGCCCTGTCTTCAGGGATGTCTCCGGGGGCTGTGGAGCTCTGGGCTGGGAGGAGGCTGGCTGGGCCGGGCTCTCCCGGACCCTCCCGCAGGCTTAGGCCATCCAGGCCCCCACCTGGCCAGACAGAACGGCAGGGACAGAGTTTCAGGGAGGCCTCCATGCTGACAGTTCAGGCCTGTGTCTGTCTGGAGAAAACACATGAACAGCCACTCTCCCTTCATTCAAGGGCCTATGCTTACCTTTTGGGGTGCCACTGCATCCCCCAAACTGACAGAATGGCTGGCCATCAGGCCCTGGGGCATCCCTGAGGGGTGTGTGAGCGTGTGGCTGAGAGGGTCAGCTGGCCTGGCCTGGCTGGGATGCCACATCCCTTCCCTGGAGAGGCTGACAAGGTGGAGAGCAGAAGAGGCGTGCCTGGGCAGGCACGTGGGGCAGGTGCTCTGTCACCCTCTGAGGCACAGGCATGCCCACTACACAGACTGGAAGCCCCACCCACCCACACAAGCGGTGAAAACACCCAAAACCCAGGAAAAGCCCCCTTGCTAGCTATCTACTTATCAACTGCCAGATAGGCAAGATCACAAACACAAGGAAATTTAACAGAAGTTGAGTAAATTCAACCATGAACTTGTTCCCTCACAGGAACTGGTCCACCGCAGGGTGGGAGTTCCCGTGCTTGTCAGGGCGCCAGCACCGGAGACTGCCTGGTGCTGGCCTATCTGCCAGCACATGCTGGACAGGTCCCCGCAGACACACCCTCCTCGAAGATGTCCCGACCCTCACAGCCCACCCACCTGCCTCTACCTCGCAGACACCCTGCCCCCTCGCTGGTGACCCGCTCCGATGGCCCACCCACCAGACACCTCCTCAAAGACGCCCCGCCCCCTTGACAGCGTCCCGCCCCCACAGCCAACCCACCAGCTACCACCTCAAAGGCGACACGCCCCGTTGCTGGCGCCCCCTCCCCCCCACGGCCCCCCCACCAGCCGTCTCCTCGCAGAGGACCCAGCACCCAGCCACTGCCTCGCAGATGCCCTGCCCCCACTGCCCACCCACCAGCCATAGCCTCGCAGACATCCTGCCCCCCATGGCCCACCCATCACCCCAGCAGAATGGCACAAGTACCTTTTGTGTCTTCGTCCTCTATGGTGGTGTGGGTGCTGTCCGACGACTCCTGGGGACACACAGGGACAAAGCAGGTCAGGACGTGGCCTCCACGGACGGTGGAGGTGCCCTCCCAAGGCTGCGGGCCCCAACCCCAGAATCCCCAGGTCAGGGCAGGAGCTTCTTGCTGGCCCCCAGAGGTTACTGATCCCCAGGGCTCAGCCGCTCAGGTCCCCAACAGCCCAGGGCCCTGACTGCACCTTCTCCCGACAATACGCCCAGTGGAAAGACCCTGTGCTCAAATGACTCTCTTTAATAAGCCAGGAAGATGGGTTCTTTGAAATTCCATGACCCCTGGTGAAGAACAAAGGTACCCACAACCTGTGCATTTTGGGAGACAGGGAGGGAAGCTTCCAGAAGGTCAAGAGCCTTGGCCTAACCCAGGCAGAATGGAGCTGCACCCACACCTCCTTTCCTAGGAGGGGGACGCCTGCCCCTTAGGCCTTGACCGTCCAGCCAGGCTGAGCATCACCCCCCAGGTGGCCTTAGAGGGCAGACACGCAGCCCCACACCTCCCAGCTTGCTTCTCTTCAGATAAGAAACCAGGTGCTGTTCACCTGTCACATGGTTCCCAAGAGGCTTCCTTGCTCATCAGAAAGAACATGTAAACGGAGTCCTGGAGACCCTGACTGAACACACTGCTCTGGGCCCTGCCCAGAAGTGGGGGGTCTGCAGGCTGGAGGACCAGGGATCATCCTACGGTCTAGAGGTCTAGAGGCCTCCTGCAGGGAAAACAGGAGCCTCTCACCCCAGCCCCAGGGCCCATGGAACACTTGTCTGAAGCCACAAGGCAGGAGTACAACCAGGCCTTTCCCAGCACCTGGAGTCTGGCTTGGTGCCCCTGGTCCTGGCCCACAGCCAGTGTGTGGGGGGCCCTTTGGGGAACCTAGGCCTGGGTGTGTGTGTGTGGGGGGGGTGCTGGTCCTAGAAACGCAGCTTGGCCAGCCACATCCCTCTCGACACCCGAGAGCCAGCCCCTTCTCTGGCCCAGGCAGGAGAGATGCCTATGCAGCAGAGATGATGTCAGAGCGGGAGCAGAGAGGAGACAGGCTGGCTCAGCAGGAAGCAAGGGGGGCAGAGGTGAGCAATGGGGGAAGCCAGGGACATCTGAGCTACTCCTTCCTCGCCCCCACACCAGCCCTTCTCCCTTGGGACCGTCTGAGGCTGCCCTGCGCTCCTGGCCCCTGGCTGCCAGGCAAGCAACGTGACACATGGACCCTGTTCTGGGGCCTTGGCAGTCACAAAATTGTGGCTCTCACTGTACACCTGTCCCCTTACTCTCAGCACAAGTGGCCCCCCCAGGGGTCACAGTCCCAGACCTGCCCCACCCCTGCTTGACTGCCTCCTGCCAGAGCACAGGCTTCTAAGGGGGGGGGGGGCGCAGCAATACCTTGATCCCATCCACAGGGTTATGAATGACGGTGGTTTGAGGCTCCTACAGAAGAAGGAAGCAGAGGGAGGAAAGAGGGAAGTGAGCGGGGCAAGAGAGGGGAGGGTAAAGGGCAGCTAAGCAGGATGGCAGGAGGTGGAGCGGGCTGCGGAGGCCAAGGTGGGCCCAGAGGTGGGCAGAGAGCAAGCGTGTGTGCCCACGGAGCATGGGGAGAACGTGGGGGCCCTGGGTGAGGTAACAGAACCTCCCCTCCCTTTGCTGCCTGACCCTCTGCCCCAGCATGGTGGGGGGCATGGTTTTGAAGATGTCATGGGGGTGGAGTGGCACATGGGATGGACGGGGTCCGAGAGGGGGCTGGCTGTGTGGGATCCTCCCCTCCTGGACTGAGGCCGCCCCCACATGCGAGATGGCCATCTGGCAAACCCAGCCTTCCCATGGGCACGTGGGGCTGGCTCCCGGGAGTGGGCCTAGGGCCCATGGAAACACCACACAGCCTCCGAGAAAACTCACAACCTGTGACCAGCAAACCCCAACAGGCCACCATGGGCCCAGAGCACCCCTGCACCAACAATTGGGGAATCCCTTGGACAGGGTCCCCCCGGTGAGGGCCAGAGCCAGCAGGTTCCTCTAAACTTGTGTCTACCTGCCCCTTCCCAGCCAGGAATCCCTGGATCTTTCCCTCTGGGCCACAGCCTGCATAGCCATGGATGCATCTCTCTCCAGCCGTTCAGGGGCCTGCAGGCCATGGCCTCTGATGGGAAGCCGCCTGGGCTGGGTCATCACGAGGGACAACACCAAGGGCTCTTGTTTCCCTCCAGATCACTGGGTGGGCTCCGAAGCTAAGACCAGCCTCACCCATTCTTCCTGGGAGAAACCAAAGCCCTCACCTCCTGGACACTGCATCCCTGCAGCACCTGGGAGGTGTCTTCCTGACAGGCCACACCCCTGCATAGTGCCTGGTCTGGCCACTCTGGATGGGCCTGCCAAGAGCAGAGGAGCAGATGTGCCCTGCTGGCCCCCTGAAGGCCTCTCACTGCTGACCCACAGTCTACCCAGGCGGGAGGCTGCCAGTCCCTGGCACCTGAGGGCGGCTCCCTAGCACTGCCCCCGGACTGCCCGGATAGGGCTTAGCCCTCATTCCACACCCGAGAGGCAAAGGGGGCTGGAGAACAGAGCGTCCACCAGAGACAGGCTGGGGCTGTACCCCACCTTCACCCCAGGCCTCCTGACGGGTGGCCACCACACACCCAGGGTGCAGGAGGGCCCAGAAGCAGGGGGCTGAGAGGCTCAATACCAGGGCGGCCGGAGGGAGCGTCCCCTTAGGGCTGGTCACAGCTGCACTGTTTTTGGTGCTGTTCGTCTGGGGCTGTGGAGAGAGAGAGGAGGTTAGAGGGACAAGGGGGACCAGCCTGACCAGGAGGGAGGCCCTGCAGGACAGTGGGGTGGAGCCAATTGGCAGGGTTTCCCCCAAACCCCAGGGACTAAAGCACTCACCTTCACTGCATCTGCTTTCTTGTTGAGTAAACTCTTGGCTGCTGCATGAGAAGGATACACACAGCATGAGCAAAGGACCTGGGGCTAACATTGCCCATCCCTCAGGGGCCTCAGGGACCAGCCAGGCTCTGGGGGCCCTCAAGAGCAAGTGGGAAGGAGAGCCACCCCAGGTCCTGAGGCAGAGTGGTTTCTGTGGCCAGCTGGGGCCAAAGTGGGCTGGTAGCCAGTTCTGAGCAGGGCCATCCTGGAAAGGGCTGCCCAACACCATCATCTCCAGGACAGGGCCTTTCCCCTGGCCATGCGCTATGACCCTGCAGGACACCGGAGGTCTCCCCTCCCACCCGGTTCTGCCCCAGATAAGAACACTGGACAGGGCACCAGGGTGGGGTGGGGACATCTGTCTGTCATTCTCCGCATTCTTGGGCAGGGGGGATGGGCTGTAGCTGGCCACCCAAGCAGGGAGGAGCTCATCCCCAGGGGCCTGCCTGCTCTCAGCCTCCTGGTCCCTTCCTCAGCCAACAGGACTCAGGTCCCTGGCTGTACCCCCCCCCCATGCCCCTCCAGCTCAGGGCACCCAAGGGGCTGCCTCGTTTTTCGTGAACCAGTCCTGGAGTCCTGGCCCTGCTCTGGAGACACCAGCCCCAACATGGGCCTCTCTGTCCCCCCGAGGACCCTGGGCTCTGAGGATGATACTCTCGGAGGAGGGTCCCAGGCTCCCACCCCCTGACAGACGCCCGGCAGATGGCCTGTGTCACCCCAACATGACCCCACAGAGGTCGGGGCAGCCTGGCCCTCACCTCCCCCTCTCCCACCTGAGCCCACCCTCCCTGCATCTGCTCTCTCCAGAGCGGTTAGTTTTAATGGTGGAGTCACGGCACGAAAGAGGTCAGCTTACCTCGCAGGAAGGGAAGGGTGAGGACAGAGTAGTGAAGGAAAGAGAGAAAACAAGATTCATGTGGTCAGGTCGGGGTCTGGTGTGTGGCCCAGGACTCAGCCTTGTCCTGCCCGCTCCACCCACGCTCCCAGCCGGTGCAGGTTAGAGAAGCAGCCCTGGGGGCAGACGCAGAGGGGTGGGGCCCAGGGTGGTCTAGACCGCTGCCCTTCCCAGCCCCCTGCTCTACAGCTCTAGCCAGCCATCCCTGAGCAGAGCTCCCCGCTCAGCAGGACCAGGGTGGTCCCCAGGGAGCCTGGCCCAGGACCCCTCACTGCAGGCAATGTCCCTGGAGGGACGCCCACTCAGGGCTGTGACATCAGACCCCTGTGCACACTTGGACCCAGAGAAATGCAGCGGTTCTCAAAGTGGGTTCCCCATGCCAGCAGCGTCAGGACCACCCAGGTCCACCCCAGACCTCCGGGGTCGGGGGAGGTGGGTGTGGTATCTGTTCAGCTGTTCATCTGTCGTAGAGGGTCCTAACGCTGCTTCACCTTGAGAACCACTGTTGAGTCCCCAGTGCAGTAGCCAGGCGGGGGCCCAGGCCTCTGGGCTGCCGCCTCCGGACCGCCTTCCTCTCTCCGCCGCCCTGACTAGGCTCTGTGCAGGGACACAGGTGACTGTGCTCGGCTGGAGAGCCCTATGGGACCTTCTGAGAGCCACTGTGGGCACAGTTTCTGTTCCCAGACCTCCCCCCACAACCCGTCCTCTCCTCCCCCAGGATCCAGGGGGCAGCGTTGCACCACAGAGCCTACCTCTTGCCCCAGCCCCGCGTCTGGTGGGCCTCACCCCATGAGAGGTGTCGCGGGGTCCCAGTAAGCGAAGGGACAAAAGGCTACCCCTTTCATCGCCTCCCAGGCCCACCCGCTCTGTGTCTCAGCCTCCCTAGGGAAGCTGGATCAGAACTGTGTCCTGAGGCCCGGCAGCCAAGACCCAAGAACGTCCCCGCACCAAAACTGCCACCTTCTTGGAGGCACCTCTGGCTGCAGGAACAGGGGAGGGGCAGGCCAGCCCTGCACACAGGAGCTCTTGTTCCTGAGCAGTGTCAGTACAGCCCCCTTGACCCACCCTGACCTCAGCACTCCCCTCCCTCATACCCCTATCCCTACCCCAGCGTCCAGTGCACAGGCAGACCCCATCTCCTCTGAAGTGGGAGTCATGCGGGGACCCCTCCTTGTTGGCTGAACAGCTGGGGGTGGAGATCCTCCAGGGACAGGAAGAGAAAGCCCCCTCACCCCCAAGGCACACACACGCATCAAGGCAGCTGAGCAGGCAGGCAAGCTGACCCCACACCCGAACTGAAGCCGGGCCCCGCGGCAGGCACCTTGTGGCCTCGGCCTCAGAGCGGTGCAGGCTGGGGCTGGCCCAGCGCCCCGGAGGAGATGCAGTCGGCACTGGCTGGCCTCCACCCCCACCCCCAAGCCAGGGCCTGGGCGGAGGCAGATGGAGACCCTGGGACAGACCTGGGTCTCACGAGGGTAACCCCCTCAGTCCCTGACTCTTGTTAAAACCCAGACTGTGCTACTCAGGATGGCAACACCCATCTGGGGACTCGGACGGCTCCACCAGGGCCCAAGCTCCGGAAAACCCGACAGCAGACACCAATCCTCTCACCCAATTCCCAAACACTGTCCCCCAGGAGCCACTTCAAGCAGCATCTGTGAGTCTGGGCGCAGCGTGGACACAGAGTTGTGGCCCTCCCTGAAAGCAGCTTCTAGAAGTTCACATCTCCACCCCAGACTGGCTCCAGGGCCTCGTTGAACCCCCTCTACACTGGCAGTCAAGAGCACAAGCTGTTCCCTCCGTGTTTTCTCAAGTCAGGTGCGCTATATCACAGCAGGAGCCAGGGGGCCTGCAGAGGCACCACAGAGCTGTGGCAGATACGCAGAGACCCTTGGCCTACCCACCAGGGGTCCTCTGGCCAGGCTGTGGTCACCCCCTCCTTGAGGAAGGCCAAGACCCTCCCCTGAACCTCAGCATCTGTCTACAAAGACCCCCGGGCTCCTCTGGCCCAGGTGCTATGTCACCAGGGGGCCGTCTCTGTGCAGGAGCAATGGCCTTGAAACTGAGACCCCACCTAGTGCCTCTGGCTGAGCTGGGCTGACCTAGCAGGGGGGCCCTCAGCCCACAGGGCGGGCCCAGCCTCTGCCCCTTCCGCACACCGGTCACCTGGGACAGCCATGCTGGGCTCCGTCCTCATGCACTGACCGCCCGGGGACACAGCGGCCCTTGGCGGCTGGGGCTGCACATGCACATGGCCTCATGCAGTGCTCAGCCACTGCTGGGCAGGCGGCTGCAGGCAGGGGCCCGCGGCAGAGAGCAGCCAGAGGTCCCGCTTGCTGCGGCTGGACAGCAGCCCTTCCTTCCCCCGGAGCTCCCTGTTCCTGCTATGTTCTCCTCTTCTCGCACGCTCTACGAGGGCTCTGGAGGTGAAGCCAAGGACAGCCCTCTGGGAGTCTCGCCTGTTTGACACGTCCACTGAGCTCACAGGAAGGGAAGGACTCTCCTTCCCGAGGGCAGCCTTCCCCTGAGCATCCCATGGGGACGTGGCTGGGAAGGGGCCCTCTGGCTGGGCAGGCGGGGCTGCACACCAGGCGGGGATGTTGAGGCAAGAGCTGGGGTGGACGGGGTGGGGGTGAGCCCTCCACCCCACCCCAAGCCGAAGCACAAGGCGACGAATGGCAGTACCTAGGGCCCACAGCTCCAATTGGGGAGCCCTGGGATCGGTCATCAGCTGGCTCCGTGCACCCTAACCCTGCCCATCCCCAGTTCATGCTGCTCCAGCAACAAGTCCTGGGGTCTGCTGGCCCTCGGGGTTCTGCCTAAGGTTACAGCTGGATGGCCAGGGCTGGCTGAAGCCAGCGAGAGGTCTCTCAAGGGGCAGGGTCTCTGCCTCTGTGCCTTTATTCCCTGGGGCCCTCCATTTGGGGTTCGAACTCAGCATCAGCCTGGAGGCTTCCTATGGGTGGTCAAGGACACCATGAATGAGGGGTTCCTGACAGACAAGTGGGGAGAGAGATCAGAGTGCAAAGGGCTCTGACCAGAAGGGTCACCTGACCCCCAGACTCAGGGGCCAGGACCAAAGTTCAGTGAAATGCATGTGGGTGGAGGCATAGCTTAGGGGTCACCTAGCCTGGCCCCTCCTTTAGCAGGTGGGGTCCAAGGCCCTCTGAGTACGACCTGTGCACGGCGGGAGCGGGGGCTCCCGGGGCCTCTGGGGCGGCAGCTGCGTGCAGCGAGGGGGCTGCATGCTGACAGGGGGGACCCTGGTCAAGAACATCTACCTTGTTCCACCAGCCCCATGGTGGTGCCGGAGGCCGCGGTGGACATTGTGGCCGGAGCGGTGGTCTGTCTGCCCACTGTTAGCACCGGGTTAGAGACGAGGGAGGGGCGGACACAGACGGGGTGGGCAGGGGAAGGGAGGAGAGACAAAGGAAGCAGAAGAAGATTAGAGTCCACAGTTGGGTGGTGAATGGTTCCAGAGTCCCGTTCACAGGAGAGTGGGGACAGGACGGAGCCGGCTGGGGAGCGCCTGCCTCCTTTCTCCCTAGAAAACCCCCTCAGGGGCTTCTCGAGTCTGCTGGGAAGGCTTGCGCATAGGACAGGTCCTATTAGCATTGGTGTGACAGCACGGCCCCCCCTCCCCTGCAGTGAAAGTAACAGGATGGGGTGCTGAATGCACATGGACAAGAACGGACCCCAGACGCTCCCGCACCTGATGACGTGGGCGACAGACACCACAGGACAGCCAGAAGGCGACCTGCCCCTGGGGGAGACGCTGTGCCCAATAGGCCTGCCAGGGGCCCCTGGCCTTGGGGTCGCCTACAGACCCCCTAGAGAAGCCGCACGCCCCCAGCCCTGCCCGCCCTCGGTACCCCAGGCGGGTGGCCGCCAGCACGTCCGGAGCTCAGCAGGAAGGTCCTGGGCCATCCTCTCCCCTCCCCTCCCACACACAGAACGGTGCTCAGAGGGCTCAGGACAACAACGAGGCCACAGAGGTGCCAACCAACATCCGGACAGACACACAGAGCCGCAGCCCTGGCGGCAGGCAGCTCAGACACTGGGGCGTCAGGCGAGGACACAGAGACCCAACACGAAGGGGCGGGGCCGGGTGGGAGGGGGCTGGCCCCCGGGGTGTAGCCTGTGAAGCCCAGGCCTCCCTGCCCTCAGAGGGCAGAAGGCTGGGCTGCTGAGCAGTGGAGGAGAAGGGCCAACAGGGTGAGAGGGGCGGGCCGCTGGCCACGGGTCAGTCGTGAGCCTTCTCTTCCTGGCGAAGACTGTTCTCACCTGAGAAATTTCTCGTGGCCAGCATGGTGGTGAGGATGGCCCCCTGGAGAGAGACATACATCTGAGGCCAAGAAACCCTGGCCCCGACCTCAGCCCCTGGGTGCCTGGGCAGGACCAGGGTCAGGGCCTTGCAGGCGTGAGAGTCCTCAAAGGTGCCAGGACCCCTTCCTACAGAGCCAAGACAGTGGCTGCCCACTGCCCAAAGCCTCCCTTCCTGCAGCAGTGCTTTGGGGAGGCCCACGAGGGGCCGGCCTCCCGCAGGTCGGCCCCCTGCCAGCTGTCCCCCACCCGCAAGTGCCAGCTAGGGTGCTCTCCTCACCGAGCCCACCGGGGTCCACGGCTGTCCACTCACTTACATGGAGCAAGTGGCCTCGGAGAGCACTTGGCCCACGGGCCTGCTCTGTGCACCTCTGGTGTCACTGCCACATCGGGGCTGAGTCCACCTGGCATGTCTGGTGTGGGGTGGTGCCAAGGTCACTGAACCCCTGTGCCTCTCCTCGCCAAGCCTGTCAGGACCCTCTGGCCTCTCTGAGCATGGGGCCCTCAAGGGCACACCCCTGGGTGCGGTGGGGCAAGTGGGCAGGGGGCTGGGGGCTGGGTCCGTGCCTCACCTTGAGCTTCCTCCGGGCATTGAACTTTTTCAGGCACTCCACGGTCTCCTGCCTGTGCATCATGGAGGCCACGGTGGACCGTTGCTGTGGGAAGAGGGGAGTCAGCTTTGTACCTGAGGCATCTCAAGAGGAGGGTCAGGGAGAGGGACAGCAGGGGGCCATCTGTTCCTGCTGCTGCCTGGGCCCCCGCACCTCACCCCTCACGGCCTGCCCTCCCCTCCTCGAGCCACAGCCCAGCTGGCTTGTTCTGGTCTGCCTCTGTGCTCCATCCCCTCACACCTGGGACAGGGCCTCTCTGCCCCCGGAGCCTCATCCTCCCAGAGGTGGAGGCCTGTGCGGTGCCCAGCAGACCAGGGGCTCTGCAGGAGCGAGGGGACCCCAGGGTAAGCTCGCCAGGAGCACTTACACAGACCCACGGGTGCTTCAGTGCCTCGTGGGCGGTAATGCGCTTGGCGGGGTTGATGGTCAGCATCTGATTGATGAGGTTTTTGGCTTCAGGAGTGACTGTGTCCCACTCAGGGGATGGAAACTAGAAAGCAAGCAACACGTGACAGAGTCTGAAGCCTCCTTCCCAGGCAAAAGCCCGAAATTTCCGAGAGGTGTCATCCGGGTCAAGATTCTGGGGGCAGGTGGTGCCACCTGTCCCCTGCCCCCCCAGACAGGGCGGGGTCCCAGCACTCACGTCGTAGGCTCCCGCCTTGATCTGCTGGTACAGCTTGTGCTGGTCTTCATCCCAGAAGGGTGGGTAGCCCACGAGCAGGATGTACAGGATCACCCCTGTGCAGAGCAGAGTGCCAGCCTCACACTGTGCCTGGCCTGCAGCCCCCGCCCCCGCAGCCCGCTGCCCCTACCCCTGCAGCCCTCTCCCCCTTCCCCACCCCCATGCAGCCCTACCCCCAGCCCCTACCCACAGTCCCTCCAGCACCCAGCCCCTATTCTGCTGCCTCCAGCCTCCACCCCCACCCCCATGCAGCCTCGTCCCCAGCCCCCAGCCCCTACCCCTGCAGCCCCTGCACCCCCACCACACAGCCCCACCCCCAGCCCCCAGGAGCCCCGCCCCCAGAACCCAACCCCTTACCCTGCAGCCTCCAGCCCCTGTCCCCACCCTGCAGCTCCCACCTCCAGGCCCCCACTCACTAGGTCCCCCACCCCTGCAGCCTCCCTGAACCTCTCAGTGTCCACCGGCACCCACCCCCCACTCTCTAGACCCCTCCGCCCCCACAGCCCCACCCCCATTCCCCAGATCCCACAGCTCCCACCGTGCCCCGCACCCAGCACAGCCCATCCCTGTGCCCTTGGAACACAAGTACAGTGACACACCAGTCAGGACACACTGCTCCCCCCCACCCAGGGGACAGGGGGGTCAGGGGCCCACCTCCAGCACTTAACAGCTATGGTGTCCTTGGCCTTGGCTGTGACGGGGACCCTGCCCAGAGCCAGTGAGCCCCATGAGGTCACTGGGGTCCTCGCATCCCCCCACCCCTGAAGTGTCATCTCTAGTGCTCAGCTCTGCAGGGGACCCTCTGGCAGCCCTGCGTGGCTTCTGCCCAGACCTCTCACTGGGGAGGTGGACTTCTGTGACTTGGGAGGGGCTCCTGGCTGGGGGCAGCCCAGGGGTGGGTCTGGCACAGCCCAAGTGGCACAAGTGCACGCCTCCCTCCCTGAGCCCCCAATACCCCCCACTGCACGGAGGCCTCACCACATGCCCAGATGTCCACTGGCTTGCCATATGCCTCCTTGCGCAGGACCTCTGGGGACAGGTAGCCTGGCGTGCCAGCGAACCCTGCAGACCACGAGAGGCAGTGTGAGGGCCCAGGCAGCTGCTGACCCCCGCCCCACCCCACCCCCCACCTCGCCAGCTGGGCACTCACCAAACCATGCCTGCTGGTCTCCCTGCACCTCAATGGCCAGGCCAAAGTCCGCCAGCTTCACCGCAGCCCCTTTGCATTTGCTGGCCAGGAGCAGGTTCTCCGGCTGCAGGGAAGGCGACCAGCCAGTGGGCGTGTGGTTACACGACAGACACGACAGCGGCTTGGAGGCTGCCCTGTGGGTACCACCCGGGGCGTGGCTGACACCCTGTGACCTTCCCAGGGACAGAAGGGAGCGGGCTCACACCCAGGGCAGTGACCCCACTAAGGGCACCCTATGAGCCCTGGCAGGTCATGTTCTCTCCCCACACCTCATGTCTAGGTGCTCAGAGGGTGGGGGGCTGCCTGAGGATGGTGACCCCAGAGGGCACAGAGGAGGGACACGGGCCCCACAGCCCAGGCATCGTGGAACATCTGCCCACCAAGTCCCTCTGGCTCGGCTGTCCCACCCCTAGGTGGGAAAGGCCTGTCGCATGTACCCAGCCTCAGGGAGCAGCAGCCTTGCTCAAGCTGAAATGACATTCATGCCCTGTCCCACAAGAGCACCAAGGGGGCTGCTGTCCCTCACTGGGGACACTTGGCCCCGAGGGCCCAACGGGGTCCCTGTACACTGTGTCCTGTACACAGGGCCCCTCCAGTCCTGGCCCAGCCACCTCCGGCGGTGGCGGCCTCCAGACTTCCCCATCCCTGATGGCCAGGGGCTCCTGGGTCCCTCAGCCCTTCACAGGCCACCCTCCGAACAGGTGGGCCCACTGAGACCACACTGCTATTTCAGGGTAAACACGCTTGTAACCCTGACATGTCAGATTGTGACAAGAGGCACTCAGAACCCATGAAGGGTGCCGGCCCCACAGCAGGAACCAGGGTCCCTCCGGGCTCCATCCCCGCAGATGACACATGCCACGGGGACACATGCCTGCTCGCCCAGCACAGCCTGGAGGCCCCTGAACACCTTCGTTTTGACCATGTAAGCAGGACAGGGGGCCCCCCACATTCTCCTGCTCCCACATGAAGGAGTCTGAAAGAGTAGGGACAGGGCTGTGGCCGGCCAGGGGGCTTCACGTGAATTCTACAGATCAGGGGAAACAAACCTGCACTCCTGAGAAGCAAGAGTTAAGTGAGCTTCCTCTCAGGGAAAGGCTGGAGACCCCTGGAGAGGAAGGGATGCGGCAGAGCCCCGCCCCCCATGCTCTCCTCCCTCCCCATCTTGGCTGAGAGCAGACCCACCATGCTGCCGCCTTTGGGATTCTGTCCCAGTCAGGAGACCAGGAGACGGGGTTCTCCTCCAGAGGAGGGCACTCTGCCCTTCACACCTGGCAGGAGGCAGAAGGGTGCTGTTTGCCCCGAGGTCACAGCTGGACTGTGGGGAGCACTGCCTTGGCCTGAAGAGTTAGGTATGAATCATGAGGGTCAGGAACAAGGTGGGGATGCACCACCAAGTGATTCTGCTTCAGACCAAATATGATGACAGAAGGGGAGACCCATGACAAGGCAGGCCTCTGGCGCAGGTGCGGAGGGCTGCAGGACCATGTGGGAACTGCAGAGAGGGAGCCCTGGCCTGCTCCTGGCATGACCCGGCCCCAGAGAAGCCGCCGCAAAGATCGCTCACACGCACACACTCCTTGGTGGGCCCAAGGTGACCCCATTCGGTGTGAGCACCCATGCACTCTGTGGGAAGGCTGGTTTCAAAGGCTGCCTGGGGACTCTGCAGGAATGACAGGCCCATGCCCACGCCCCAGAGAAAAAGCTGACGGGAACACAGCTTTGGAGAGACTGGGAGGCAGGGGAGGGCTGCTGCTCCTCCTGAGGCCATGCCAGGTTGCCTAGAGCTGAGCCTGGGACAGCAGAGATCTGCACACTGGGCTGGACACTGGCAAAGAGCAGGGAGGCCAGCCCCTCACCCCCTGCTCCCTTGGCATCAGCCCTGCCTGCAGGCACATCACCTGCGTGCCCCCCGCCAGGTCTGAGTCTCACCTGGAGCCCAGAAAGAGACACCCAAGTGGACGTGGGATGATAGGCTGATTTTTGACAAGTGCCCTCTCTCAGTCCTGGAGCCTGGAGGGGTCTGGAGGGACATGTGCAGACACACACATGCACGCACACATACTTCTTCCTACACACATACATGCATGCACACACACACATGCAAACGCACACACACCCAGATGCCTTCATGCACACATGCACGTACAACTTCATGCATACACACATGCATGTGCACACCTTTATGTGCACTCACATGCATGCACACGCCTTCATGCATACACACACATACCTTCATGCACACACACATGCATGTGAGCACATTTGCTCTCCTGCCTTTGTGCACACATATACACATGCCCACACAAGTACACACATGCACACCTGCACACATTCTGCGCACACACATGTGTGCCCACACACCCAGCATCTCCTGCCCACTGCTCCTCCGGAGCCTCTTTTTACAAGACATGCAGGTACAGACAATGGAGCCCTGACACAGAGCAGAGTGGGGAACTCACCTTGAGGTCCCTGTGAACGACCCCCATTTGGTGGCAATGGAGAACCGCCTCCAGGATCTGCTGGATGCAGTGACTGTCGCAAACAGCAGGCGTATTAGTGAGGGTGGCCCTAATTAGAGGGGTGGTCAGGGGTGCAAGAGTGGGGTGCCGTGTGGCACTGGGGCAGGGTCAAAGGGAAGCAGGGATGGTACCTGCCATACCGGCCAGAAGGGGGCCTCTGGGGCTCTTGCCTCACCTCCACAAGCCAGCACAAGGCAAGGCCAGGCCCCCCCCGCACCCCTCACCCTGCCTTCTCCTCCGACCAGGCTCATGAAGGGACCCTCAGAGGAAACATCCGTGTTTGGGGGGCACCTCCCCAGGCACATGCCGACCAAGCATGACCTTGAGCCAGCACCCTCTAGCTCAAAGGGAGGGAGGCCAGGGCCGAGCCCACACCCTGCTAGGTGGGCTTGAAGGGAGAGGGGGGAGAGGGCACTTTGGAGCGGGGTGGTGCCCCAGCACCAGGGCCCTGCTGTGTCCTGGGTGGTGCTAACGCTGCAGCCAGTGCTCAAGTGTTGAAGCAGGTGCTGTTTCATTTCAGCAACCCCGAACATCCGCAAGGCTGCTGGCTGCTCAGCTCTGTAGCCTAGGGGCCGGGAAGCTCTCCTGGGGGAGAGGCAGCCCAGCTTTGCCCAGAGCCCCAAGCCCCGAGCCACGGAGAAGTCTGGGAGGACTGGCTGGAGTGGGAGGTCTGGGCTGCTCTCAGGCACCCTGGACACCTGTGCATCAGCAACATCACTGCACACCAGCCCCAAGGACCCCTGCCTCTGCGCACACAGCACCTTGAGGCCTGAGCCTGCCTGTGCCCCCAGATGGCCCAAGGTGTCCGAACAGTTTCCAGCAGCCCCTGGAGCCGGGCACAGGCCGCCGGGAGCCCACTGCCCAGGGTCTCAGTCTCAACCCCTCTGGGTGGGGGTAAGGGAGGGGGGCAGATTGCCTCAGAGCCCCTCCTGCCATGGCCGGACCCTGTAAGGTGACTGAGGGTCAGCTGGAGGGGGCGGCTCTGTTTTCCTGACAGCAGACTCAGGGAGGGCGACAGACCAGGTCCGCTCCTCAAACAGCTCTGGCCACATCTGGAGACCATCTGCCACTGCGTAAAAAAGCAAACCTGAGTGTCCTTCCTGTAGAAGCCAGGCCCTTGGAGCCCCAATAGTGACAGACTCCCAAGCTTCATGGGGGTCAGGGAGCTGGGGCCACAGCCCCCTCCCATGTCCTGATGCTCCTGCCCCCTTGTCCTGGGCTTTCTGTCCCTGTGTCCTGGCCTAACTCACCCTCAGAAACTGCTTCCTTGCTCTTGTGATTCACAAAGCCCTCATCTGCATGGAGCAGTCCCCTGGGACCCTCGTCCCTGTCCTGGTGGCACCAGGCCCACATCCAGCCACCACCAGACCCTGTTACTGCAGCCATGGGCTCAGCCCCCGCGGGCTGATCCCCACCCCCCCAGGCTCATCCGGGGGACCTAATCTGCTCTCCAGAGTATGGCCATGAGGTCTGGGAAGTTCTCCTGGGCCAGGTGGAGCCCCCAGCACTTGCCACTGAGGTGGCCAAGCCAGGGTCGAGACAGGGGATGACTGCCAGCCCCAGAGAGCCGCCGTCCGGAGGGTGTGTGCACGGTGCTCAGCTGCAGACCCCCGACCACCTGCGCACTGCAGCACCCACACAGGGCGTGGGAGACCCCTGCAGGGCGGCTCCTTCCCGTGATGCAGCAACTCAGCCCTGGCTGTGGGTCTGCGCGCCCTGCTATGTGCCCTGCCGTCCCCCAGCACCCCGGCCGCCCTCGCAGCCCACGGCAGGTGTGTCCTGGGCCTCTGGCCATTCCTGCAAGCCCCCGGGGTGACCTGGCTTCAAGCTCAGACCTGCTGAGATCACTGCCCTCCCACTTTGGCCCGGCCCGTCTTCCACCTTTACCCTCAAGACCCCTTCTGGCTCCGAGCCCTGGCAACACCCTCTGGACCCCCCATGTTGGTCACCCCCTGCAGTCACATGGCTGGCACATCCTGTGTTGGTGTCTCTGCACTGAACAGAGGCCTCTGTGACAGCAGAGGCATCGTTCTTTCCTTTCTGTGTCCCTCATCCCGCCCGGCAGAAGATGCTCTGAAAACATCTGTCAGACCCAAGGGTCCACCTGCCACAGGATAGATTGATGATGTCGGCTCAGAGGGCGTGAGCCCAACCCTGGCCTCCTCCTTGTCCCAATGCAGGGCCCAAACCGTCGCCAGAGATGTGAGACTGCGGCCCCTGAGCTGGCAGAGAGGGTCTGCATCTCTCCAGGAGCATCATGGGACTTGGCCGTGCGGCTGAGATCAAGGCCTACAGCTCAGGACAGACACTGCTCCAGGGGCTCTGCAGCCACCCTGATGTAGAAACGGGCTGGCAGGGGCTCCCTCTGGTGCTCAGGAACCAGCTGGCTGAGCAAACCAAGTTCCCCAAGAGAAGGCTGTGCGGGGCCTCCCTGCCCACGCGGTGGTGTGGGCGGGTGTCCAGGACCAACATGGGAGCTACCTCCGGGGCCCTTTCCAGGCAGCCCTGCCTTCTGGGGGTTTCTGAGCACCACTCCTGAACCCTGAACACCAGTGCCCTCACCACTCCCACCTGAGACCACAGCCTGGGCGGACGTGAGGCCACCTGGCCAGTCATGAGGTCCTGCCCGGCTTCTGCCTCCTGCTCACTGTCTTCCTCAGTGGGACCTTCTGTGGTCAGAGCTGTTCCCAAGCACATTCCAGATGCTGGTGGAGTCCTGGCCACTATATTCTCAGGGTCCCGGGCTCTGAGGTCACCCCAGCTATGCCCCTGCTGTGCCCTCCCCCTCGGGAGCCAGATTCCCAGGGGCCCTCGTACATCTCTCTCAGTGGCCACATAGCTTTTTAGGCTTTTAGCAGCAGCGTTCTAAACATTCTGAACTTTGCTCTCTCTGCTCTGAAAAGAGACCCTTCGGTCCCCACAAACCGCCAGGTCAAGATCTGACTTCTTCCTGAGACCAGTCTCTGGCCTTCTGGATTAGGAACTCCTCCGGGGCTCCCACCTCCTCCAGAAACTGGACACACAGAAGCCACCGGACACGGGGCTGTGAGCGGCAGGGCCCTGGAGGACCCTGAAAGGGAGCTCCGTGCCCACCATGTGCGCCTGGTGCCTTGGGTCCCCAGAGAAAGACAGTTGACACTGGCACCCTCCCAGGACGGGAGCTTGCCTCAGTCACGTCCACCACAGTTCCTGACGATGCCCACAGGCGCCCATGGCATGGGCAGTGGTGGGGGTTAAGGAAGGAGGACCTGGGCAGAGGGTTTCAGGTGGGGAAAGAGGCCAGTGAAGGTACATGATCTCCCTGGGCAGCCAGGTGGCATGGGAGGCAGAATTGGAAGGAGCCCTCCTTGACCCCGCGCTGACCTGGACCTGGTCTGGGGACAGCCTGCTGGGACCCTTCCGTCCTGGCCCCAGAGCCCCTCCCGCCCCTGCAGACCCCAGGGCGGCTGGGCCGGCAGGCAGGCACCTACGCTCGGGGCATTCCCGTGGACACTTCTGAGCAAGACAGGGCAGTGCTGCTCCATGGCTTGCTATGCTCGAAGAGGGAAATAAGGGCTGTGTCTTCCTGCTGCTGAAGGGGACAGGCCACTCCCAGGGCCCTGGGCTCCTCAAGGAGCCTCAAGAAAGCAGCCCCCACCCCTGGGCAGTCTGGCTGGAGGAGAAGCCCAGCCCTGCCTGTCCCTGACACCCCAGCCTGACAGCTCAGCCTGACCCTGCCACACCGCCCGCCTGCAGCCCCTGGGTTCTGTGGGGACCTGCTCACACCTTCTTGCAGAGCCCAGGCTGTCACCAATGGGCAAGGTCCCCCATGGGTGCACAAGTGAGTCATAAAAAGCTACTTTTAAAGATAACGTTCATTTTCTTGAATAGAAAAATAATACATATTCATTAAAAAATTTTTAGAAATAGACAACACAAAAAAATTAAAAATAAAAATCATCCATCGTTACGTCCATGGCCTAGAGATGGCCACTGTCTCCCTTTATGTCTGTCATGCGAGTGTCTCCTGGCCCGGTGAGCAGGGGGACCAGCGGCCAGGGAGCAGCCTCAGCAGTCTTCAAGCTGAGACGCACAGTCAGGGTTCAGAGGGCCTGTGGCCACCAGCATGGGACACAGCAGGTCATGAGTGGCCTAGCCTTCCAGGGAGGAGGCCCCACTGTTCCCAGATCACTGGGCCCCTCATCCCCTGTGTGGGCTGCCCCCAGCATGAAGGGCTGTCCAGGGGCTTCTGCCCCCCCACCCTGGGGAGGACACACAGAAAGGGATTCCTGCAGGGGCACCTGGGGGGGGGGGTGGCTCAGTCGGTTAAGCTTCTGACTTCAGCTTAGGTCATGATCTCGTGGTTCATGGGTTCTGAGCCCCGCGTCAGGCTCTGTGCTGACAGCTCGGAGTCTGGAGCCTACTTCAGATTCTGTGTCTCCCTCTCTGCTCCTCCCCTGCTCTCACTCTTGCTCTGTCTCTCTCAAAAATAAATAAAAAATATTAAAAAAAAAAAAAAAGAAAGGAAGGAAGGAAGGAAGGAAGGAAGGGATTCCTGCCTTGTCTTTGGTGAAGCATCTGGAAACTGCCTGGCTCCTGGGGGAAGGCCCATGGGCCTTGGTGCCGGCCATGGGCCACAGAGAGACATCTCAGGGAGGGCAGGGGGGGCCACCATCATAGGCTGTCTGCTCTCTCCCTTCCAGTCGCCCCAGGGAAAGCACTCCAGTCTGTGGGCCAGTTCCCACCCCAGGGGTTCTGGACTCCAGCCATGCCTCTACTCTGCGGGAGGACACTCGGGCTGCCCCTGTTCTTGGAACCTGCCCAGACTGCCTGATGAGGCAGGGGTGGGTAGAGAAGAGGGCAGGGGGAGTGAGGGCTGCACACCTACCTGGCATCTGCCTCACTGTAGTACTCTCTGGCCACGATGTCTTCGAAGAGCTCCCCACCCGTCACCCTGCAGGTGGAGCACACAGGTCAGTCTGGAGACACCACTTCTGTCACCCTCACAGCCACTGACATCAACTCCTTCCCCTCCCCTCCCCTCCCCCTTCCACTCCCCCTCGTCCTCCTCCCCCTCCCCCCTCTTCTCCCTCACTCTCCCCACCTCCTACCCTTTCTCCTCCTCCTCCCCCTCCGTCCTCCTCCTCCCTCCTAGGAGGACTCCACTATCAGCACTTCCTCCTTAACCCTATTGCCAATTGTCACCTAGGACTGACAGCTTACCAAGTCCTTACTCGTGGCAGCATTTGATATTTTAGTTCTCACCCCTGCTCCAGGTCACAGCACAATTATGCTCAGAAAACCAAGTCTCAAGGAACTAAGTGGCGGAGCCTGGCCCAGGTCTCTGCAATGTTCCCTGGGCCTGTGACTCTAATTCCAGGCCCGACGAGATCTGGCCCCCTCAAGTCCCCCAGGACAAGAGATGTGTCCCTGCACAGAGCAAGGGGCCAGAAGAGACTGTGTCTGGATCCGGTCTCTGGTGGGCAAGACCACGAGGTATTCAAAGTCTGTCTAGGAAGAGAGTGGGGTTTCTGTCCCCACGTGTCCCTGCTCAGAGACTAGCCCTCAGGCCCTGCCATTGGGATGAACACCCAGACACCAGCCACTGCCTAGAGGGCCTCTGGGAACCCAGAAAGATGCCAGGTTCCCTGGGGTCCCTCGGGCTGGAACCCATGGTGTGGACAGGAAGACAACTGGGTGAGACACACAGGGAGAGGGGAGGGGCTGTCCTGGGCTTGCCCACAGGGGACCCGCCCAGGCTTCCCACCCTCTCCAGCCACACCTTGTCTTTGTGCCCAGTGCCCAGGGCTGTGGCCTATGGTAGGGGCAGTGCTGGACGGGTGACCCTGTCATGGGTGGGCTATCCTTTAGCGGTGGACAAAAATGAAAGCGGGACATGCTGGGTGGTAGCACACCCGCTACTCTGGCTAGACGCCTGCCTCATGACCCCACTGGCCATGCCGACGACTCTGGGAGTGAGGGGCTTTTAGGGCCCAACTCTGCCACCAAGAGAGCCTGAGGCTCAGAGCAGGCGACCGCCTAAGGGAGGCAGAGCCTGGAGAATCCAGGAGAAGGGATCTGCCGTCGATCTGCACACAGCGCTCACCGGTCAGGCTCTGCACACCCGGCGCCCACACAGTGCAAAGGCAAGAAAGCCACCAGGTACTGGCCAGGACCCAGCAGGAACACAGGGATCCACCCCAGGAAGCCTTGCCCAGGGCTAGGGACGTGCCCTCTGGGTCCCTGGGTCCCCGCGTCCACAGGAGGCTGCTATGCTGACAGGCACCTGGGGCCACATAGTGCAGGGTTACAGGGCAGGGCACTGATTGCTTGGGGTGGAGAGTGTCTCACACTGGCAGGAAGGACCTGATCCGGAGACCGGCACCTCCCTCCTGTCCTCCCTTTCCACAGCTGGACAATGTGGCTGATTCTGGGCTGTCCCCAAAGCTTGGTGACATTCCCAGGGAGGGAGTGGGGAGACCTGTCAACTCCTGAATCCATACAGCCTCCAAGCTTGGGGCCTCCCAGACTCCAAGTGCTTCCCCAATTCTGGCGCCACAGATCTGTCGAGGGTCTGCGGAGTGATGGGAGAGGGCCGGGGTCGGGGGGGTGGCTGCTGGCGGGGCCTGCCTCTATTCATCCCTGCTCCTGCTCCCCCCCCCCCCCCCCCCCCCCCCCCCCCCCCGCCGAGAAACAGCTGCCTGAGGCCCAGTGCCGCAGGCTTGCAGGCCACAGAGGTCTGTGGGGAGAGCATGCAGGGCCCAGGCCCTTCCCCTCCCCTGACCCCTACAAACACCAGCCACATGTTCCCTGCCCGTTGTGTGGGCTAAGAGATAAGAACCTGTAACACGTGCACACACATGCGTGCAATTACACACACACAATCATGCACATGTGTACCCCATTCTCTCCCTCCCAGTCTGCTCCTAAATCATACCCACCCACCTGTCTGCCACCAGGGCCTGGGCAAGGCCACCCCTCCCAGCCCCATGGCTTCTACAATCCCTGCAAAAGAAGCAGGTGAAGCCGGGTTGGTCTGAGGGCATAGGGTGGGGGGTGGGGGTGACACCAAACCTGCCCCCTCTGCAGGGGTCACAGGGTAGACTTTTGGGGCACAGCTTCAGCCTAGCAGTGGCAGCTGTGTCCCCAGCCAGCCGTGGCTGCCTGGGGTATTGAGAGGTGACTAAGCCCCTGCAGGGACAGGAGGAGCCAGAGAAAGCCCAGGGCTCTCAGGCCCATCTGTCCTTTAAGGGAGGAGCAGCTGTCCTTGAGGCAGCACCCCGCCATGTGGCTGTCTGAAGGCCACTAGAGGCCGCCCAAAGCCTAGGCCCCTGCCTACCCAGAGCCCTGGTCCCAAGACACAATGACTCACAGATGCTAAATATAGCCCTGCTGTGGGAGCTGTCAGCAGGAAGCCAGAGGCCTCCAGGGCCCCAGAAGCCTCCTCTGTCTGCCACTGCTCACACACACACATGTGCACACACGGGCTCACAGGGGCCACAGGCCCCAAGGACAAGAGGGCCCAGTGGGTAGACGGCCCCTTGGGGGACATGGACCCCGATGGTGCAGAGTAAACAGGAGGTGGGGACGCTGGCAGGAAAGGAGGGGCGGGGGTCGGGGCCTGTCCTCCGGGGGCTGGGGAGGCCTCGCATTTCACCCCAGGAGCAGCCTCGGGGCCCCCCCCCCCCCCCCCCCAGCTCCAGCACTTACAGATCAAAGACCAGGTAGTGGAAGCCTTCTTCCGAGATGCTGTCGTGGAGTCGCACTGCAGACAGAAGAGGCCGTGAGGGGCTCGCCCAGCCTGGGGCCCGACCTTGCTGCTGAGCTCCCCTCCACACCTGCTCAGGCTCACCTCGCACGCAGAGGGAGCCCACCTGTCCTGACAAGGGCCTGGGCTCCCCATGGCCTGGGGCTGGGGCCCCCGGGGGGGGGGAGCTGCAGGGCAGAGCCTGAGGGGCTTCATGGGGCCTCTAGGTGTCTGCTGCCGCCTTTCCTCTGCCAGAGGGAGATCCAGGTCCCTCTCAGCAACCCCCTCCCGGGGCACATAACAGTAGCAGGAGGGGTGGGGCTCCTTGGACCAGGCCCTGGAAAGGAGCCATTCATATGGAAGGCGCTCAGTGGGGCCACATCATGTGGCTCTTTGGACAAGCTGGGGAGCCTAGGGAGGCATCACGGGCAAAAGCTCAGGGCCTGGGTTTGGGCTTCCCCTCCTGCCTGGTCCACTCTGTGTGTCCCTGAGCCTGGGGCATGTCGGCCACAGGGCTCCCCTCCTGGCCTGGTCCACTTTGTGCGCCCCTGAGCCTGGGGCGTGCCAGCCACACAGCCCACTAGTGTTTGATGAGTGAGCTAGTGAATGGCAACTCAGTGCACACGCCAACCACATGGCCTCCTCTCTGTCCAGTTGGAGACACACCCACACTGAACAGCACACATTTCTAGGAATGGTTCATTGTGGGCACGGCCCCTCACATGCCAGCTCCTGCCCTCTGTGCTCTGGGAGCCTCCCTCGTGCAGACGCCTCTCTCTGTACCCGCGCCAGCCACCTGAGGGATGCTGCACAGAGAGGTTCAGCCACCGGCTGGGAGATACACAGCTCCCCAGAGGCCCAGTGGTATGGGGGTCAGGGATGTGGACTCCCACAAGCTGCTCTCCTCTCCTGGCAAGTCAGGCCACTGGCGCTCAGAGTGGGGTGCAGCACCTTCTCTCAGGCCACGGCCCCTCCCTCGCACCCCTGGCGTTGTCCTAGTTCCTGACTGCCTGCAGACCTCCTCCCTCCTCAGCTCCAATCCCCCCAGGGAGTCTCCAGGAAGCCCAAGCCGGCATCTGTGCTGACAGGGGCCAGAGGTCGGCACCAAGGGTGGGCTCCCCACAAGCAGCAGGGGAGTCTGGGCCCTGAGGAGGGGGCCACGCACTGGCTCGGTGCGGGGTTGGGGGGTGGCGGCTGGCTCCCCTTTCTCTGTGTCTGCTCAAGGTACAGCACCCAGCCCTCTCCCCTCTGCCCTCACTGTGGTCCTCCAGGGCCCACGGCCTCCCCCGCTGTCTGGGCTCAGTCACCCCTCCCAGGGACGTCCGGGAGGCCTCGGCCCACACAGCAGCCCAGGATCCACTCCAGCAGGCTGCCCCGCTGGTCCCCAGCACACAGCAGAGCCTGCTCACTGCACCCTCCTCCCCGGAAAAAGGTGGGGTGAACAAGAGCTCACTGCCTCCTGGCTTCGCCTCAGCAAGGGGACTTCTGAGCAGTCTCCTCAGCCCTCCACCACCCCCCTTAAGCTCCAAGTGAGAGAGGACTGAGGGTCCCTGAAGGCAGCACCCACTGAGGGACATTCCTGGGGGCCTTCCGGTCCTTCCCTGGGTGGGGGCCCAGGGGTCCATAAAGCTGGGTGCTGCTCCCCAGTGCCACTGAGAGGGGGGTCCCGCCTCCTTGCCCAGGAGACATAGGGGGTCCATGTGGAGTGCAGGCTGTGTGCACGTGGACACTCATTTTTTTCTAAAATTTTTAATGTGCAAAAATATTTTAATGGTTCAGAAAAAAACCTAGCCAGCTTATCAGACTGATTTGTGACAGAGCTAAGTAAAGAAGGGGACCATCTGAGCCCACTTAAAGACAGCAGGTGAACACCACTGTGAGTACGGTGCATGGTGGCAAGAAAGTCCTGACTGCATCTAGGAGCTGTGCTTGACACAGAGGGCCTGGGGGGCACACCCGGATGCTCCCCTCCCCGGGGCCCGGCTCCTCCAGGCCAGGGGGCTATCAGGAGGTCCCTCCACCCTCCCAGGTAGGCTCTGGACCCTCTCTCTGGACTCCCGTGCTTCTGAAACAGGAAGGCCCAGCCCGGGTGTGTGACATCACCAGCTGCAGGCCCCAGGATCCGGACACTGGAAACCTGTCTCCTGCCCCCTGTCCAGGCAGGGAGCCACCCAGCACACTGTCCTCCACGGCCCCCACCTGCCCAGATCAGGGGTAAATCACCCAGCAAAGGCGCTCAGTTCTAACCCAGGAACCAGGCCCGAGGAGAGGTGGTCAATGTGCAGAGGGGAGGCTGGGGGGAGATTACCTCCCCCCAGCCTCCCCTCTGCTTCCCTGCAGCCTCCAACTCCACAAAGAAAGGCCTCAACACTGCACCTGCTCCCCACCTGACTCATCCCAGGTCCTGCTGGGCACTCCCCACTTTGCAGATGGGGAAACTGAGGCTTCTTCCCTCTTCTTTTCTCCTATCCTCCCCTCATCCTGGACACAATTGCTCCCTAAGGAAGTTGGCACAGGAAGGGGAGCCCCTCTCAGAGCCCCTGACCTGTACCTGGCTTCCTCTCCCAGGGGTCTGGGGGCACTTCTGTCTAGGGTGGAGCTGGGCAGACTCAGGCCAGGGAGCAAGGGGCTCCCTTCACCTCCCCCGGAGGAATCTCTCCCACTACTCCTCAGAGAACCCCTCCTGAGTCTATAGAGCATGTTCCCCCTGGACCCCAGTCTCAGCCGTGCATCCACCTCTTCTGAAATGTTCTGTCTGCACCCCAGTGTCAGCCCACCGTCTGCCTATTCTGGAATGTTCCAGCTGAACCTTAGCTCTGACTCCCCTGTGTTCTGGAATGTTCCCTCTGCACCCTAGTCTCAGCCCTGACTCCCTATGTTCTGGAATTTTCCAACTAAACCTGTCTCAGCCTTAACTCCCCGTGTTCTGGAATGTTCCCTCTGCACCCAGTCTCAGCCCTGTGTCTGCCTGTTCTAGAATGTTCCAGCTAACCTGTCTCAGCCTTAAATCCCATGTTCTGGAATGTTCCCTTTACATCCCGGGCTCAGCCTGGCCCCCTCCATGTTCTGGAATGTTCCCTCTGCACTCCAGTCTCAGCCTGGCCTCCCCATCTTCTGGAATGTGCTAGCTTAACCTATCCTGTCTCAGGCTGGCCTCCCCCATGTTCTGGAATGTTCCCTTTGCACCCTGGGCTCAGCTCTGACTCCCATGTTCTAGAATGTTCCCTCTGCACAGTTCTGCCCTGTGTTTTGGAATAAAGCTGCTACAAGGACTTGAAGGACTGATGAGAACCGACCAGGAACTACATGGGGCATCCAGGCAGGGCAGGAAGACGTGAAGAAGTGTCTCAAAGTACCACAGAACACCTGGGTCCTCCTCGCTTAAGAGGGGATTCCTGAAAAGTGCTCAGAATGGTGGCCTGCCCTCAGCTGGTGCTCACAGGATGCAGGGGAGAGGCTGCCAAGGAAGGAGTTGGCAGCGTGCTGCTATCTGCCAGGAGCACGAGGAGAGAGGGGAGAAGTGCCTGGCGTCTGGCCCAGATGCACAGAGGACAACAGCTGGGGCAGTGGGAGGTCAGGCTGAAGCCCACCATTCACCCAAACACCCCCTACCCCCTGCCAGTGAAGACTGGGCCGAGGTCCCTGTGGACGCCTGTGTCAGAGCCACTTGGTGAGCTGGTGAAGGTCACAATTCCCAGGCCCACCCCAGGCCCGAGTCAGGCTTCCTGGTGACAGATCTGGGTCCAACGCACTCACCCTGAGAATCTGGAAGTAAAACACGCTGGCCCAGGCCCACTGGCACAGGGGCTACCCAGGAAGTGGGGGATCTGCCTCCCTACCCCTCCCACTGGTCCAGGACAGCTACAGGCAGGGCTGGGCCCCCAGGCCCAGCTCTAAGGCCTGGCCGAGGCTTCCTGTAGCCCCTTGGGCCTCCGGGAGGCTAAGGGTCCTGGTCTGGGGGTGGCTCCTGCACTGGCTGCCCCCACCGCCTGCTGTTCATACACAGTCCTGGGTCCTGTCCTGGAATGACTAAAGCAGAGTCCTGGCAGGAGGGTCCCAGGACTTCACCTTGATGAGCTCTGGGGTGTCCCTGTGGCAGCACACCCAGAGTCCCCTCCGTGCCTCCTGGCTGCTTCTCAGAGTGGGCTCCAAGGCCCTAAAGGGCCATACTCAGGGAGGGACAGGCAGGTACACACAAACCCCTGCTCCACAGGGCAGCAAGCAGGGGCCACATGGGTGCCACGTGGGTAAGGGGTGGGCACATGGCTGAATGGAGGTCAAGGGGCCCGCTTACTCCAGGGTCTGCAGCCCCTACAACTGTACCACTTACGGGGACATGATCTGGGCTTTTAGGGCAAAGGGCTCCCCCAAGGCTCCCGGGGCTCTGTGCCCCTGCCGAGACCACCGCCCCAGGCCACAGCGCCAGGGATCGCAGGGGTCAGCAGCGGTTCTCCAGAAAGAGACCTGGGACCTCAGCCAGGACGACGCCTGCTGGGGTCTCTGAGGATGTTCTCGCCAGAGTCACACACAATTTGGGGTTACAGAGCGAGGGGAGGGGGCCCATCCAGGTGGAGTTCCCACAGGAGGCTGCCCCAAACCCCCAGAGTCTGATGTTTCCAGGGGCCACAGGGAGGGGCACATCTATGGAGAAGGAAAAGCGGACCTTCTGGTAACTCTCTGCAAGTCCGGCCATCGGGGGAGAAAGCCTGCTGACAGGGGGAGTAGAGAGGGGGGCCCCAACCCCTTGGGGGGCTGCTCACCGATGTTGGAGTGCTTCAGAAGGCGGCAGATTCGAGCTTCTCTCTCCAGTTTCTGGTGATCTGGGGACAGAAAGTGACATGGTATAACCTTGTGCCCCAGCAGCCTGTGACCCCCTATGCCTGGCACCACGGAGACGGCCAGCTGCCAGACACACTCACTGCCTTGGAGAAATGGCTGCTGCCTTCCCAGTGCGTGTCTGCCAACCGCCACAGAGGGGTCGCATCAGGTCGTGCTCCTGTCCCTGCAGGGGCCACCCCAAGGCCGGCTGGGGCAGGAAGAGGCTGCCAGGTGTTTACAGCTCTAGGCTACGAGGCCCGCGGAAGCGGGAACCCGAGGTGGTTCAGGAAGAGAAAGTGTGTTGGAACTGAGGGCACCGATTTCATCCTTCACTTATTTGTCCGAATTCCAAAGTCTACAGGGCCTCCCGCTGAAGCCCAGTGTGCCCTTCACCAGCAGCCGTGTGGCCGGGGTCAGTGTGGGCCTCAGCAGGACCCCACGGGGGACATCTGGGGTGAGGCTACATAGATCTACAAAGCACAGGCCTGGACTGTGATGGGCGGCTGAGTCCAGGCTCCAGGGGAGCTCGCCATGGGCAAGAAGCAGTCAGAACGAGCTGCTGGGAGCCCTCCCTGCTCCCCACCTGCTCGTGGCCAGGGCTTCAACTCCAGAGGCTGCCCCTCTAAGGACTGAGCAATTCATCAGAGATGTTCTACTTCAGGGAGCCTGGGGCTTCAGTCCGTGGAGCATCCAACTCTTGATTTCGGCTCAGGTCACGATTCCAGGGTTGTGGGATCAAACCTTGAATTGGGCTCTGCGCTGAGCATGGAGCCTGCTTAAGATTCTCTCCGTCTTTTTTTCTCTCTCTACCCCTCTCCCACGACTACGTATGCTTTTGTCTCTTTTTATTTTATAAAAAGAAAATTAAAAATAAAATTATAAAGGGACACCTGGGCGGCTCAGTCAGTTAAGCACCCGACTTCGTCTCAGCTCAGGATCTCACGCTTTGTGGGTTCAAGCCCTGCGTTAGGCTCTGTGCTGACAGCTCCGAGCCTGGAGCCTGTTTCGGATTCTGTATCTCCCTCTCTCTCTGCGTTTCACCCCCCACCCCTGAGCTCATTCCTTCTCTCTCTCTAAAATAAATGTTAAAAAAATAAAAATTAAATAAAATTATAAAGAAATGTTCCATTTTACACAGATGTCACCAAGAGAATTTTAAAAGTTAATGGAGGTTTCAATAGCAAAGTACTTGAAGTACCCACAATTTCATCATCTAGAGAATGCAGAATTAACGTGGCTGCAATCTCACAACACAGCACACATCAACGTGCACACACCACCCTAACATCCCCACATAAGGCTGAGTGACAAAAGCCACTTAGAAAAGAAGCCCTAAAATGCACTTTTGTTCACCGAGGTCAACACACACAGGTCACCAGATACACACGTGTGGCCTAAACTTCAAGAACGGCAGGGGGTTTCCAAGTTATCAGCGTGGGACGCAACGGGGGAGGGGGTCCTGGGGTCCTGATGCCCCGCCGCAGCCCTGCGCACGCTGAGCCCCCCAGAGCAAGAGTCTGGGGAGCACATTACCAGACCACCACCCGGCTCACAGGGACGGGGGGCAGCACCGCCTGTGGGGCACTGTTAACATGCTGAGTACACAGGGTCCTCGGAGGTAGGAAGGCCCCTGTGCAGGCTGCCTCGCCCAGTCCCTGCTGGGCCCTGGGCCGGGAGACGGTAGGGGGCCGGGGGCGGGGGGGAGGCAGACACAGACACACTCAGTGTCTTTCCTGAGCAAGGGGGTGGATGTTACGTCCACAGACAGGAATCTCTGGGAACACCTCAGGTCCAGCTCGGCCTCCCCCCTCCCAGCACCCGAGCCTCTGGAAATGCTAGCACCCCCTGCCCTGCCCACCCAGCACCCACCTGCCTGGCAGGACACCCAGGAGGGCTCTGGCAGAACCAAGGAGAGGTGCTGGGCTGAGGGACAGACCCTGCCCCCACCCCTCCCTCATGTCCACACCCAGCGAGCCCTGGAGGAAGCTGAGCACCTGCACACAGACAGCAGACCCTGGAAGCAGTCCAGGCATCACCATCACCAGCAGTGGGGGGTGGAGGGGGATGAATTGAACACGCCTGTAATGGAACGCACACAGTGATGACTCCACTCCATCTGTGTGCAGCTCAAAGATGGGCAGCACCAAACAGCACTCGGTCCAGGGCTCCCTGGACCTGAGGCCCACCTCTGGAGGACAGCAGAAGGCGGGTGGGGAAGGGGCTGTGGCCACACAGCAGAGGGCTGTAGGGAGCTGGCTTCCTGCAGGCCAGAGGGAGGGCTGATGGGGGCAGGTGTGTGTGTGTGTGTGTGTGTGTGTCATGCTTTGTGCTGTCATTCAGAGCGTTTTCTTTTTCTTTTTTCTAAGCTTATTTATTTTGAGAGAGAGCACGAGTGAGGGAGGGGCAGAGAGTGAGGGAAAGAGCGAGAACTCCAAGCAGGTTCCATGCTGTCAGCACAGAGCCTGACACGGGACTTGAACTCATGAACATGAGATCATGACCTGAGCCCAAACCAAGAGTTGGACACTTAACCAACTGTGCCCCCCAAACGCCCCTGTAGGATTTTTTTTTAAGTTACTATCCGAACATTTTTCAAACTCAGAGAAAAGATGCAAACAGTGAAGTCCTCAGAAAACGCACATTTGTATAATCGGTCCTCCCATGTGCATGCACTTACTTTTTCTGAGGGTCTGACAGAAGCCACACTTGGCATCCTTTTACCAGGGAACATCGTGGTGCATGGTGTGCGTGTAAGAGCAAGGACACCATACTGATAATCTCCGTGCACAGCCCCGTGCACAGCCCCGTGCACCAGGTTGAACGTGGCTGCAGACCTCGAATCTAACCTACAGTCCACATTCCGGTTTTGCCAACCGTCCTGGTAACACTAGAGCTGACCTTACCACACACCCCACTGTGTGCGGATGCCAGCTCAGAAGCTCATCCCCATGTCCTTGGGTCACGGAGAGCTCAGGAAGGTAGGGTGGTAGGAGCTGGGGCAGTTTCCTCTGGGGAAAAAATGCCTGATTTGGGTCATTTTATGTCATTTTTATGACATAAAAATCAAGAGGAAAATGCATGTGGGAACCCACCTTCGGGAAGCAGGTAACTCAGAAGGCTGCATTTCATTACTGAAAGCTGCTCTGGAGGGCACAGCTTCCGGGCGCGTCGGGGCAGATAAATCATCTGTGTGGCCAGGAGAGGAAGCCTGGCTGCCCAGCCCACATGGCGGTGTCCTTCCCATGGCCACTCAGGTCCCCAACCCTCCAGGCCGGCAGCACTGGGCTGGAAGAGGCCTGACGCGGCGTCCGTCACCACACACGCTGCAAGAGAGCCCGTGTGTGCACGCCACATCCAGTCAGTAACAGCACTGCCCCCAGAAAGCAGAATTATGGGCTTATTAAACAGTAATGTACTTTATTCTTCATATTCTCCCCAATGTCGACAACAATCTTGTTACTTTTATGATTAGACAAAATATTGTTTTTTAAAAAGGATCTGATCGTGTCTCCCATGAGCACAAAGCCACTGATGAAATGAGGGCACGTCGTGAAAACCAGCCATGGGGACACCTGTCCTGAAATGAAGTCTAAGCCGCTATCACCTGACCTCAGGACATCCAGGACAGGTGCGTGGCCGTGGGAGGAAGGAGCCAACCCCCTAACCCTGCCCAATGGCCTTTGATTTCTTCCCACGATGTTGGGAAAGTCATTTCTTAATTTCCAAACAAACATCATAAACCCCATCATGGACACGGGTGAGTCAAATTTAAGCCAGTTGGGCCCACTGGAAGCACATCCTGGTCCTAAATCATCAGCGGGACCTGGGAAGAACACCTGCACCTGCTGAGGCAGGATGGGCCAGCGACCCAGAACCAGCCCTGGGACCCTCAGGGCCCGTGCATCTGCTCATCCCTGCTGCCTGCCTCCTCCTCCTCCCCGGGGCTCCAGTCGCAGGGGCCACCTGGGCTTCGGACACACCAGTGACCACTGAGCAGGCCCCGGGGCCAGCACCTTCCCAACCATGCTCACCACAGGACGTCCTGGCCCAGCGGGCAGCAAGCTACTCCAGGAGGGGCTCACCAGGCACCAGCCAGGGCTGCGGGGGCTGCGGGGGTTGAGGGGTCCTAGGACCAGGCCTGCCTGGAGACCTGGCACGAGGCTCAACAGGGCACCCCCCAAAGGGCTGTGGCCAGCTGTCCTGAGTGTGCAGCGCTCCGGAGTTGGCCTGAGGCCCAGGCACCTGCTGACTGGGGTCCCATGGCCGTGGCCACAGCGGTTAGCGTTTTGTTCTGGAACGACAGCACACATCACAGAACAGACACAGCACCCACCCGTGCAGCTTGTGAAACTGAGGACAAGAAAACCCAGGAACCGGCCCCACTGACACCCCGCATCCGGCCCCCTCTCCCCAGTCTTCCGTGTCAGACGTGCCCCACACGTGCACCAGCTCCAGGAACTGCGCTTTGAGGTCATTTTCCAGGGGAGGGTCTGAGGGTGACTTCTAAACAGGATCGGGACACAAGTGGGGTGGGGGGCCAGGGAGTGAGGGCACAGGCCAAGTTCCCCCAACTTCCGGGAGCCTCACCCCACAGAGGGGAGGCTCCTCTGCCCTTTTCCCACCTGAGGACCCGAGGCCAGCACTGACAGCGTCCTGGGAACCCAGGAGACAGGGAGCAGGTGGAGCATGGCTGTGAGCTCCAGGGACAGGGGAGGCCCTGATGCTGTGTGCGGGAGACTCAAGGGGGACCCCGTGCCAGAGTGAGGTTCTGGAGGAGTGTGCATTCACGGGGCAAGATGCAGTTCTCACAGCCTCTGACGTGGAACCCTGCAGGGGACTCCTGAGCTCAGTGTCTCATCTCGTAAATGCTCGCAGGCCCTACGCGGAGACAAGCCCAACGGCGTGCATGCAGGTCCTGGAGCCAAAGGCGCCGTCCCATCATCCCATCGAGTCCATTCGCTCCCGTGAGGAGGGTGCTGGGCCATGCAGGCAGAGGAGAAAC